TTAAGAGACAATCCGCAGTACTTTTGCCTTTGATAAAACCAAAGAGATTATTGGACATGTTATCACCTACAAGGTAGAGTAGCCTATTTAACAAAATCCTTTCCATCATTTTACAAAAGCAGGATATTAAGGAGACAGGTCTGTAGCCTCCGTTTGACTTAGGGATAGGAATGATGACAGCCTCTTTCCATTTTCTTGGTAACTTTCCCTCTCTATAACTCATATTAAACAAATCAAGTAAGGGATTAGGTTTCATACCGGCTAAATAATTAAGTATGTCATACGTTACTCCATCTTTTCCCGGAGCAGTGGAGCTGCCACTTTTTATAGCATCCAGTAGCTCATCGTGGGTTATCTCAGTGCATGCTATAGATCTTGTATTTAAGGCACATAAAGTTACTCCATTTCTAATATTTTCCCATGACTCAATGGTGACTCTCGTGTCTGCAGGTAAGGACTCCATACCAGCAGCACTTGCCCATTTATCTACTAACTCATTAGCAACTTTCCCTGGATCTGAGTGAGCAATGAATTTAGTCTTACAACCCCTGACTTTATTTACTGCTCTCCATATGTCTTTAAGGTTCTTAGTATTACCAATGGCCTGAGCAAAGTCTTGCCAGTATCTGTCCCGCGCCTCCTTCCTCACCTGACTGCATTCCCTAGCCACTTCCAACATTGTATTTTTCTCTTCATCCCTCATTCCATTTTTTAACCATGCTTTATGCGCACCCCGTAGCATTCTCTCCCATCCCTTGACTTGCTGATCATTGGAATATTTAAATTTCTTAGGTCCGTGCGTCTTGCTTCCCCTGCCCCCGTTATTTTCCCTCTGTACTAATTTCTCTATGTTCTCGACCATGTCCTCGTAAAAACTATCAACGCAGAGCGGCGTGTAATGTTGATACCAATCTCCCATATTTTGAATAAAATAATTTTTCATATCTTTCTTAATATTTAGCCTTTTCCTTTGGAAGTGGACTTGTTTTTTCCCCAGTGGTAATTCAACGTTCAAGGCAAAGTGGTCACTAAGTAGTTCCCGAACAACCCGAGCCTCCCCCATAATCCCCTGAGAGTTTAAAACGCAGGCATAGTCAAGCCGTCCTCCCCTGATGTGAGTTGGTTCATTGTTTCCCAATAGACAGGTATCTGGATGATCTTGTAGAAACTGTAACCACTTGACCCCATTAGTATTAATACTACCCACTGTCCCAAGGCTTGTGTGCCGAGCATTAAGGTCCCCAATGACCAGTGAAGGATTAGTATAAATGCAGTCAGGTAAATAGTTAGCGTCGAAGCAGTTCCTGGATACATACAAATTAACTACAATAAATTCCCCTTCCCTTAATGATAATTTAACACAGACACTCTCTATACCTTGCGTTTTTGATGGCGGTTCTACTAACTCTGCTGGTATGGAGTTCTTAACATAAATCGACGTGCCTCTGATGTTATTTGCGGCGAAGAGGTGAAACCCTTTATAGCCATTTAATTTCAATAATCCTTCATTCCTATCCCCTGTCTCCTGGAGAGCTACAACATCAATATCATTTCCCATCACATAACAATGAACATCTGTAACCCTGTTTCTCAAACCATTAACATTCCATGACAACACTTTCAGTCTAGGGTGATCCATTATTAATCAATTCATTGCCTAAGTCATCCCCAATAAGTTCACTAAATGATAGCCATACCTTGTATAACATCTCCCACCTCCTCCCAAGTTCACCAGTAAAAGCGACATTGCGATTCTCAAGAGATTTTTTCAGCCCTGAGATGTCCATTATTGGCCCAAATGATTCCTTCATTTTATGTGTAATTATAGGGTTCTTCCTTTCACTACGACTACCATCATTCACACACACTTCACTTTCCTTCATTTCATCACTCAATATTTCATTTTTGTCCTCAACCACTATATCCTGACTATCCTTCACCGTTTTGTGATTTTCCTTGACCTCCTGAACGTTTAATTTAGCCTCGATGGACTCGATTCTCTGCCCCAGATTTTGGAGGAACTCACCAACTTTTTTAAGTTCAGCCCACACTTCCTTGACCATATTATTATGACCCTCTCTCTGAGCCACAGTAGCCACTTCACTCACCGTTACACTGTCACTGCCGGAGTCCTGAGTGGTGGCGTGGCTGCTTGTTGCTGGAGCCTGCCTAAGTAAAGGTGACTCCTTTACCCACGCATTCGTCCGGTTCACTGGCACTGTTTGGGGCAGACTGTTTTGCTGTGCTCCCGGTGTCTGGGTAAGAGCTCTTGCTTGCTCTGTAACATTCACCGGCCGGAGAACAGCCATACTCGGCCTCTTGCTACACACAGCCGAGCTCGCATTGTGAACACCTCCACAGTTGCAGCATCTGGGAACTATTTTCTCACCCAGATTCAGTCTGTTTCTACACACAGTAGAGAGGTGAGACTTTCCGCAGAAACGACATCGTGGATCATTTTGACATCTCCAGGATTTATGCCCCCATCTGCAGCATTTCAGGCATATTATGGGCTCTTCCACATACTTTGCTACATGCCTGTAGCCAGCCCCGGTGATGAACACAGGTCATGTAATGTTCATCCTTTGTCATTATTGTCAAGAGCACCTGCTTGATATCTGCTTGATGGGGTGCTGGGAGTTCTTTTACTCCCCGGCCCTAGGCCAGACTTGACTTGTCAGGCTTGGACACTCTCACTAGAGCCACCACCTGACTCCTAGCTTCACCAGTAATATTTCTTAATAAGGTGACGCTTGGCCCACACAAATCGTTGGTCGTCGAGTATATGTTGCTAACTCGGGGTCCAGAATCTTCCACGGGTATATTATTAGATAATTCGTCTTCTTTCTAGTCAGTACATTTTCTGAGACGATCCCAATAATTTAGGTGCTTTATTGCGTCTCTGTATTCTCTCTATTTAAGAATCTCCTCTCAGGTGAGTACTAAGCAGTACTTAAGACTGGGTAAGATACTCCATTGTGATGCCTCCATCCATCCGATCATTTTTCTGGCTACGCAATATTTGCTTGGTTATGTATGCTCCCTAAACGTTAAGTCGTCGGACATCATTATTCCCAAATCCTTGACATGCTGCTTTCTTACTATGGGCAAATCTGATTGTGTTTTGTACCCTGTTTTATGTTTAAGGTCCTCATTTTTACCGTATCCGAGTACCTGAAATTTATCACTTAAACATCATATTGCCCGATCGAAAACTTTATTAATATCTGCTGGTAGTTTTTCAATGTCTTCAGCAGAGGTAGTTTTCATGCTGATTATTGTGTCATCTGCAAAGGAGGATACGAAGCTGTGACTTGCATTTTTGTCTATATCTGATATCGAAAACTTTATTAATATCTGCTGGTAGTTTTTCAATGTCTTCAGCAGTTTTCATGCTGATTATTGTGTCATCTGCAAAGGAGGATACGAAGCTCCATCTCCGCTGATCCTCACCTTCCTGATACGAATGACTTGCATTTTTGTCCTGATATGAGAATCAGTGGTGCGTATGTTGAGGTACAGAGCTTATAACTGAGCTTGGACTCGATTTTATATAGTTGACTGTTACTCTTTGTGTTCTGTTCGACAGAAAATTGAGTATCCACCGTCCTACTTTATCAGTTTCCATTGACCTCATTTTGTGTGTATCACTCCATGGTCACACTTATCGAATGCCTATGCGAAGTCCGTGTATCCACGTCTGCATTGTCAGTTTTTCTTGAAACATGCCTGAGTGTCTGTCATACTGGTCAAGTAGCTGGCTGTCAGAGTCATGATTTTCCCGCTCTAAATCTATGTTAGCCGTTGTGAAGTCATTGGCTCAGTGAAACTGGTGACCTGACTCCTGATCACTCTCTCAAATATCTCATGTAGACGTTACTGCAGCATAATTCTTTGCCAATGCTTTGGGTGGGGAAGGGCTGTCTGCCGATTTAAGCACATCTGGTATCTCGCCCTTGTCCAGGCTCTTCCTTTACACTATACTGAGTGTCTGCGCTACTGGTACTTTGCATTTTTTTTATAAATATTGAATTCCATGAGTATGGACCCAGGGCTAAGTGCATGGGCATGTTGTCAATTTTTCTTTCTAAATCTGCCACGCTCGTGTTGATATCAGTTATATTTACAGGGGTTTGGATATCACGCAATAAGAAGTTGTCTGGATCTTCCACTTTCATGTTTATTGGAGTGCCAAACATGTCATACTGCTTTTTTTAGGATTTCACTCATTTCTTTGTCATCCTCAGTGTATGAACCTTCACTCGTACGAATAGGTCCAATACTGGCAGTGGTTTTTGCTTCTGATTTTGATGCACCATTTGTAATTCTAGGATCAATTCTCTAACCTTGTACAATTTAGTTACGTACTAGTATGTTCGGTTGCATGTGCCGCTACTTACGTAAAATAGGTATACAAGTATAGTTATTAAGGCCACTTAGCATGTATCCCTGTACATCAATACTATAGAGTACAACTGACAGCTGCAGTTTTCTAACAACTGCAGTTGCAACTTTCCTGGAACCGCGAAAACTGCAATAATTTCCAGCAGCTTCAGTTGCAAATTACTACTAGCAACTGCAGTTGCACAACATTCCATGCAACTTGTAATTGCCAATATTTTATTATTAATCATTTAAATTAATAAAAAAGTAATACTGCCTATGGTGTTTGCTTTCACCCGACACACAAAAATATACTTATTATTAAATTAAATTTTTTATTCAGGTTTGGTACATACATACAAGGTTAGATACAAAGTTGATGGATTTATAGATAGAGCTAGTACATACAATGCCTAAAGCCACTATTACGCAAAGCGTTTCGGGCAGTTACATTAATTTGAGGATTTTTTACTTCAAATCATAGAGCGAGGTTTCGTATTATTTAGATCCTTGAAAAGACATGAAAATGTCGTTTCCAACACAAATGATAAAAATCAATGTGTTTTCATTAGAATTAACTAAAATCTTCCTGATTTTTGTAAACCATGTAAGCAGCTTACGAAGACTGTAAGTTAGCGAGGAGCGTTCAGTGTGGGAAGCAGGAGCGAGGAGGACGGCAGCATCCGTGCTCGCCCCTGCTACATCACCCCTCTTGCTCCTGCTCCTTAATGAACCTCTACAGCACCTCTACATCTACCTACACCACGCGGGAGTTGTCACAGTTGCAAGGCCTGGCGGGAGAGCAGGTAGAGGCATGCAGAAGAGCACAGTAGTGAAGGGCTGCTGGTCTTGCCAGACCTCCTAGACCCAGCAGTGGCGGGGATGCTCTTGAGGACCGCAGCTAATTTAAGCTCCGAGACTCGGCTGGCAGGTCCTCTGCCGTAATTGTGAGTGATGGTGTGTGTTGTAGAGAGGAGTGTGACTGCTCTAGGAGTGTGGTGGTGCGTGTAGTAATGGTGTGTCGTGGAGGGGTAGTGTGTGTGTGTGCTGGACGGGGTAAAGGTCACATCCCATACAGGTTTTCGACAGTGTCAAAGCTCTATATAGGCGTTAGCTTTTGGCTGTGTTGGATTTGGTTGGGTTTGCTAATTAGTTATGTACTGCACTTTTTTTTGGGGGGAAAGGCTTGATTTTGAGATGCTAATACGAACAATGAGTTACTGTGACATGCTCTTTGTTGAGTACAGGGAGCCTAGCAGAGCCTAGCTCCCAGGGTCAGGGTAAAGGGTCATATCACGTATCAGATGATTCATCGAAGTTAGTTTTCTGGTTGTTAAAATCATATATATTATGATAGGCTGTATTGGACTCGGTTAGGTTTGGTAAGGTTGGTTTCGAAATTTGTTGGCGAATTATCTTGTGAACGATGTGACTTGTCTCCCCTGCAATGAGAAAAATTAAATATGATGGCCATGGATCTCCTGCACAGTATGAGGGGAAAATTTGTGTATCATTTGAGTGGATATTATCAGCATGTGCAACATTTTCACAGGAGTAAGTTGATGTTTGTCTAACCTAGGGATTGTCTGCATTTGATACAGGCCCATGGAAGTGCTTTTGTTGGATACAAAATTTTGTCTATGCAGTTCTTACAATTCAAATTAAAAATTCAAATTCAAATGTTTATTCAGGTAAAGTACTGTACATACATACAAGAGGTTATACAAAAATTAATAGATTTATAGATAGAGCTAGTACATACGATGCCTAAAGCCACTATTACACAAAGCGTTTCGGGCAGGGAAAAACACTAGACTAAAACTTAATATTAATTGAGATTAAAGTATAAAATGTGATGAGAACAAATAAAAATAAAAAACGGGGGAACATGGCAGAGAAAACAGCACAAATACAGTTAGGTCGACAAACAGCGTTGTTTAAAAAATAACAGACATGGGTTGACAGTATTGGGGTAAGGTAGGTTACAGGGAATTTATTAGAGAGGAATTTAATTCCTGTCAGGTCATAGCTACAGTATATCCTAACATAGTCATCCTATGTCAGGATGTACTGTACTGTATCCAGATATTGTAGTAGTGTCTTGTGGGGAATTTATACTAGATATTGACAGCCATTAGGTAAGACAAAAGACTCTGTATTCAGATAATTCCTCGGAAATGTCACTAGACCTGCTCTCTAATAATGTGTCAAACATTTTTGTATTACAGTATCTTCCATCAGTGAACCTAGCAGCAAGAGCTGTGTTAACTGGCAAACAAATGACTAATAATTTTGGTTAAAGAATTAGTTAGAAATGGGGCAACTTGTGTAACTATATTATGAATTTTTTTGTATCCAATATTACTATTTTTTTGCAGAGGACTAGAGATGACTTTATAGACGATGCATGTGACTTGCAGGCACCGAGTCAGAATAACGTGGCTGAAGTATGTTGACCAATCCACGCACTAGAAAATGAAGGAACGACGACGTTTCGGTCCGTCTTGGACCATTCTCAAGTCGATTATGACAATCGACTTCAGAATGGTCCAGGGCAGATTGAAACGTCGTCGTCCCTTCATTTTCTAGTGTGTGGATTGGGCAACATGCATGTGGCTTTAAGTACGCTAGTCTATATTTGGTATACTATTATAAATTCAGGGATGCTTCTTTATTATTGATAGTCGATGAGCAGTATCTTCATACAGCGCTCTAATGTACTACCAGCTGTATTATACTGTATACAGTATTAACATCTGGTGACAATGATTCATTTTCTCTTAAAATTTGTTTGTGACTTCTTGGGCCAGAACTCAGTCTAACAATGGGCTATGCAAATTTTTTTTCACATTTACACAACAAGAATAATAATTTTAAATTTATTCATAAGACAGTGTGTACAGAAAACATAAGACGAGGGAGCAACTGTAGGTACAGGGGTTACACATAAATATGAAACCACTACTACACACAGCATTTTGGGCAAAGTAAGAAAAGTAGTGATGTGTTGATATTTATAAGCAGATACCTGTATACAATACACGTAAAGTACTGTATTTGTGTAAAATAGTAAAAAAAAATTTAGATCAGTATCAGTCTAATGGAGTTACTGTAACCACCAATATGGTCAATTGTTAAATACAGTACAGGAAATTTTGTCAATGTAACTTTATTGGATTTTCTGATTTTGAATTGGAGTACTGTATGTGGATTTTCAGCTGATTCACATACAAACACTATTTATGTCATTTGTACATTTTCCTTATACAGTAGTATACATTATTTATAAATATACATACAACATATATTGACCTGAATGCTTAATTATTTGATATTTGATCTTGGTATTATCAATTTTGTAATCTGGCCCATGTTTGGCAGGCTTATTTAATTTAATTATACAGGGGAAGTGTGATGGAGCACTCATAAGCCTCACATTATGGATCCTGTAGCATATTGGTATTCATCTTCAGCTCTCAACCGAGGATCCCGGGGTTCAATACCGGGTTAGAGATGATTGAGCATATTTCCTTTTACCTGATGACTCTGTTCACCTAGCAGTAAATAACGATCCAGGAGTTGGGCAATTGTTATTGGCTGCATTTTGGGAAAGGTCATCAGTAATTGGCCTAAGGGAACTTCAATAAGACTACTGTAACAGGCTTTCTGCCACTGACTACGGGTAACCATAAGATAACCATTATGTTAATAGCAAGTAACGGAGTACTGTGCATGTTGTTGTTTAAGATTCAGCTTCTCGGAATAAAACGTTTCAAGTAGCACGGGCTATGGTGAGCCCATATTGGACTTACCTGGCATAGGAGTGGGGCTGTAATTACTGTGCAGTATATAACTAGGCAAACCCGCTTTTTTTTTTCAGGGTGAATAAGCACTCTTTGGCCTAGTGAAAAATATGTTGTGTTCTGTTTGAGTCTGTATTTTCTTTATTGCTTCTTACAATGCAATGAAATATTAATGAACACTGGTAGATTTTTTAATTTTAAGTAAAAGACAGTGCTTATTCCTAAGTATGGTGTGATATGAAATGCTTAGTTTTCAATAACACTATTTTGCTACCTTATAATAAAATACATTAATTTATTTACAGGTTATTTTTTATAGTGTTATCGTATAAACATAATGGGGGATATATAACATTTATAGGGTAGATTGTATTGAAAATGTTGCTTAGTTTATGTAGAAATTTTAAAATTAAACAGTTATATTTGAGAACTTTTGTTTTTTTCTGAGCTTTGCCTCCATTCTTACTTTTTTTTTTTTGCCAGAGCCATGGGTCCACCCAGGTCAGTAACTTTTCAGATACGTAGTCTTTTCTTGTTGTATAGAGGGAAGAAGACTGGTAGAAAGCATACATTACGTCCACTGTCAAAATAAACTGCTCACTTTGACAATAAAAGAATGTATCAAACTATTGGACACCCCCTTCAAAGGATCAATAGGACCACAAGGATAATCAGTTATTACTGAAAATGCGTAACTAACAGACTACCCACTAGTGACAACTGTCAGGTGTCAACCCTAGATAGTATAAGTAGGTTGGAGGTGGTGACAATCTCACTTTGTGCTTGCCCATCACCCATGAAGGATATCGGCTCTGTAGAAGCCAATCCAGTTGATTTGCTGCTCGTTAAGATTTTGTCTGTATGTTGTGTTATATGCTAAACATTTAGTGTTCTCTTCCCATTTTGATGGAAATTTATACTGTCTGTTTTCACCTATGCACCTCCACTTGATTTTAGGGTTACCTTCCCTAGCAACCAATGGCTGCCAGACATATCTATTCTTAGGTTAAATTACCTGCAGCACGATCCAACTTCTCTTTAATTTAGTCATTGTCGTGGTGGTGCCCAGTTGGCCCTGGTCTTCGTGGGGCCATTCGATTCTATGGCTACCCAGCCTACTCCCTGGTTTTGCCCCTAAATGCTCAATCCCTGTGTTTTGAGTCCCATCTACTCCTGAGTACAAATGAGTGGACTGTGCCTAAAAGGGGGGGGTTACCACCACTTCTTACCCTGATATATTGTACTTATACATGGTGGCAATTGGTTTAGTGGGTTGTTTATTAGTTATGTATTTTCAGAGCGATATTTGGCTATCCTTGTAGGCCCAGTGATAGTTTGATGAAAGTGAGTGGTTTGATGTGTTCATTGATGTCATTGAGCAATTACCCTAAATGGCAGATTGAGGTATAGTATGTTCTTAATTGCTCTTGGGGGGCTCAAAGTTGGCCATTGCCTGGTGTTCTAGATGGGACCTAGGTGAATCCATAGACTTGTCTAATAGAGTAACCAAGATGTCACTCTGAAGTGAGCATTTCCTTTCACTTATTGCCTTATTTTTATTGCTTTTATTTTATTTTAGAACACAGCATTTACCGTGCTCATGTGCATACCCAGTGGGCACTGTCGATTGAAAGAGACCAACATTGCATACTGTTTACAACGTAACATCACGTTTTCAACCAACAGTGCCCACTAGGTAGCATAATAAAGTCCTTTCAACAGTTGTAATTGTGGCTTGAGTAATCAACGGTTGTTTAATTTTATTCTTTTCAGCCATCTCTGCCATGAGTTTTCTACAAGTTGTCAGAAATGAAACAAAAAAAGATGAAGACAGATAAAGTAATTTTTGTTTTCAGTTTGTTTATGCACTGGTATTGGACAATGTCAGCTTCAGCTATAGTAGATTATCTTGTAGCCTCAAAGATTGTGTTGTGTTAAAAGTTTGTACACCCACCCTATTTTGATAACACTCTGTACACATTGTGGCTTCTGTGCCTTTTCATTGAAATTTTGTGTGAACAAGTCAGTTTTTCATGTGTGTGTTGCACTCTGATGCTGTATCACTGCACCCTTAGCTTTATTTTAAGTGATCAATTCTTGAGTATTATTTTAAGTGTCAAGGCAAATAGAGGGGACTTTTGACAAGCCGCCGGTTTCCTGTTCTCGTTGATACAACTAGAGAGATTGTGACACTCGGGTAAATAAGATAAATGCATTTTTAAGGCTAGGATTTTTGTGCATTACAAATAAATCATATTAAAGTACTGTATACAAATAATAATAGCACAATAGTAATGAAAGTAACAATGATAATGAACATTTTTCCAATAATGACAATAAAATAATAAACCAGTCAATCATTCAACAGTAAGTGTCCCTCGTGTACTGTATGAGAACCTAGCTTCTACAGTACTAGTACAGTATTAGCACATGTACTCGGCATCCTCTCGTACTCTTAACCTTAAAATATCTTGCCATACTGTATTTCCAAGTTTCAGATCCAATCAATAAAATGGCACGTTTACATATATTAAGTTCATAATTTATATGTATTCGGCTTAGTTTTGTGGTTGCACTCAGAGCTACTGTATTTGTATCACAGGGTCCATGAAGATGAAAGTGTAGTAATTTTACACATCCTATGTTCTTACAAAAGCTTTACGCATCACTAATCGGTCTTCTCTGCACACCATATATAAAAATACAATACTGCAGATTCTTGAAAAATATTGCAGCTCCTGGATCATTAGGGCTGTTTTCTTGATCATTATGTGTGTGGTTTTAAATTTTATGATAGGCCTAAAACAACCCTGGTTTGTGGTGCACATGTGTGAGTGTGACATGGTGTAATGTGAATAAATGCCATGTTATGGAATGTGGAATCTGAGAACATAGACCACACTTGACACTTTGTGTGAAAGTTTTTCACACTTTATGTGAAAAATCTTTAAAGAATTCTGATAAAGAAAGAGATTTAGGGGGTGGTTCTAGATAGTTTTCTATCACTTGAAGACCACATAAAGAACATCGTGTGAGGAGCCTATGCTACACTTTCCAATTTCAGAATTGAATTTAAATACATGAATGGTAAAATACTAAAGAAGTTATTTATGACCTTTGTTAGACCAAAGCTGGAATATGCAGTGGTTGTATGGTGCCCATATCTTAAGCACATCAACAAACTGGAAAAGGTGCAAAGACGTGCAACTAAATGGCTCACGGAACTGAAGGACAAGAGTTACAAAGAGAGGTTAGAGGCATTTAATATGCCCAAACTAGAAGATAGAAGAAAAGGAAGTGATATGATCACTATGTACAAAATAGTAACAGGAATTGGTAAAATTGATAGGGGAAGAATTCCTGAGACCTGGAACTTAAAGAACAAGAGGTCATAGATTTAAACTAACTAAATAAAGCTGCCGAAGAAATATCGGAAAATTCACTTTCGCAAACAGAGTGGTAGACGGAACAAGTAAGATGAGAAGGTGGTGGAGGCCAAAACTGTCAGTATTTTCAAAGTATTATGTAACAGAGTGCTGGGAAGACGAGACACTACGAGCGTAGCTCTCATCCAGTAACCACACTTAGGTAATTACACAATTAGGTAATTGCACACTTAGGTAATTATATCATCAATGAAACAACTCTGATTGTGGTGCACAGTGCAGGGTTAACAAAGACAGATATGAAGTAGGAGTGGGTGTACATTGCATAAGGTTTTTCTTTGCGGGGGGGGATTTGATTATTCAATGCTATATGTACTGATTATTCATTATTATATCTGATCTACTGCATGCAAGATATATTTTATTACAGTATTTATATGTAGTATTATGTCTTGACTCCAAACTGTTATGTCCCACAAAAATGGAAGACAGGAGAAGAAGACGCCTATCTGTTCTCCTCGTGTTCTGAGATGAGCCGAAGGCAACGAGTTGTTATGGCCGTCATCATCCTGGGCTCCTTTGTTTACATTATTCTAACACAGGTAATGTATTGCCAAATCATGCATTGATAATGTGGGTAAGTTTTATATAAGATCTATTGTTATATAAGGCAGGAAGACAAAATAATTTGGAAATAAATTATTTAGTACTAAACACGAACTCTCAAAAAAACAAAAAATGGTGTACAGTTCTCCTTGTGGGTTGTCGTATACAGTACAAATAGAAATGTCAACTACTCCCAAATAATACCACCACACCGCCTTGTTACTATATCCCTTGCACTGTTCATATTCATTCCACACTTTCTCATGCACTCACTCTCCATGTCTGTCCATCTCTGATCTACCCTTACTCTCCTCTTCCTTCCCTTAAATTCACTAAAATACATTCTTCACCAGTGTGTCATCATACATTCGTTCAACATACTCAGACTGTCTTGGTATACTTCAGTCATTTTTATGAATTATTGACTGCACTTCACAGCATTCCATTCCATTTTTATCCCATAGCCTATCTATTCTAAAACCATTCTTGCTAACTGTTCAGTGCTGCTACTCCCCTTCTTGGTTTTCTGGTAGGGGCCCTTCAGTGGCACCTCGAACTTAACTCTTGGTCCACTAAGCCTTAGCCCAATACTTCAGGCCTCTTGAGACCTATCTGTTACCTACTGGAAACCAGGACCAGTATCTGGGTTATTCTATTCTGAGTGAGGCAAGTAGGGCATCAGAGACCAACTACATAACTGGGAAAACTCACCAGAAAGCATAGGCACAGCAAAACGAGCAACTGCTTGAATGAAATTAGGTCCCCTGGTAAACTAGCCAAATGATCATTGGTGCGGGGTAAATAACCTGACTGTGATGCACCTGACCACTATCAGATGGTAGCTCAGGTCACCGGAGTGACACGTGTTGCCTTTGCAGGGCTGTCAACAGATCATTTAGGCCAGGTTGTCTGCAGAATTTTTGTTGCGCCTTTTTTTTAGTAAGCCCCAATGATGGCATAGTGCTAGCTTTCAGGATCTTCAAAGACATTCATGTGGTCCTTCAACATCTTCATCTTGTGGGAATCCATATTCCAGCCAACTGTAATGACTGGCTGGATTCAGATCCCTGCTATTTGACTTATTTGCTGGCGAGTGATGTACAGTAGTTCTTTCTCAGTTGGCCCACTTCATCTTTTCAGTCAACTGGCATAAGTCCCTGTTGGTGCCATCCTGGGTTCTGCCTTAGCTCACCCTTGTATTGGACACTGGAACAGTCTTCTATTTCTCTTCCTCAGGCCCATTTTTTAGCTGCCCCTTCATCCTCGCTGGTGTTAGAGAGGTCTCGGCGAGACCTTGAGCGCCTCTATGGCAGCTTGCCCTTCTTTTGTATGCTATATCGTTTGGGCGGCATCTGTTTGAAGGTGTTTTATCATTTTCTCCAATGAGCATCCTTTTGCCATCACTGGGCCATGTAATGCGAATCGCAACTCTCCAGAATTTTAACCAACTGATGGTTGATACTGTCACCTCATACCATTCAGTTTCGGTGGAGTCTCTTGTTGACATTTGAGGTGCATGGCTCCTTGATCCCCCCCCCCTTTTCTCTGGCTGTTTCAGGTGTTTTCTCATCTCTGGCAAGCTTGTGCCACTTCTAGATCATTATGCTCTTTTGATCGTGTTCTGGACTTTATGTTGTCCTCATTTTCAGGTTTCTCCCTTGATTATGGATTCTAGTTTTAACGCGACTTTCCCGATCGCCCCTGCTTAATCCTGTTGGAGCGGTGTTCATGATTTTTGCTGGAGACAAGGGTCATTTGCCCTGGGGATCATGTTTGTCATTAATAGCCTTGTTTGGTCTTGGTTAAGAATAAAATTTCAATTTTCTGGAGGGGTTCTTGGTCATTGATGTTTGGTTTGTCCAGCCTAAGGTGCATCATTCACTCTGCCCTGTGGCTGTAGTGCGAAGTTATTTATGTGCTGTAGTGGGTGACGCACTGCTTGTTAACCCTATGTCTCTTGTGACTTGTTCCAAGGCCTGTCTCTCCTTGGTCAACTGTAAGGTAATTAAGTTCAGCCAATCTGTTGTATATTCTCATACACATGACTTTTGTAAGTTGCTGCTTTGTCAGTTTTCTTTGTCAGTATGTTTACAGGCAGTATCTAGAGTGAAGGCTTTTGATGGCCTAACAAGTGTGTTGGCCTATTGTTATTTATTAGATGTTCCATGACCTGTGTGGTACTAAGACTTACTAGAAGGAATGAAGATTCACATAAATATGTTCATAGATGAGAGAATGATATCAAGAAACATTGATGTAGAAGGAATTTTAGAAAATATTTCTTTAGTAATGGAGTTGTTGATGGATTCTCCAATAATGAATTATTTGGGGGTTCTGCAGTAATGGAGTAGTGGGGGGATGGTTCTACAGTAATGGCATAGTTGAAGGGTTCTCCAATAATGGATTAGGTGGGGAGTTCTCCAGTAATGGAGTAGTTGGGGTTCTCCAGTAATGGAGTACAGTAGTTTGGGGATGGAATATCACAAAGTTGTATATTCCTAAACTAGCAATAGTATTAAGTCAAAATTTGATACAATTTACAATGAAGACAAAACACTGCAAAATAGCTCTCTTTCTGTAATTATAATTAGGCAATTAAACATAAGCATGATATATGATATTGTACCATAAATGTCATTTGATTCCTGCATTATTTTGTTTTTCTTATACTGTATGCAGTTTGTATATGTAAAGTATATGAAACTCGAGGAGTAGGAGTTGCAGATTGATTAGAAGGGGGGCTAAGAAGCAATAATAATTCTGTATGATCCTTAAAATACTTTACATTAACCACAATAAAGACCTTCTTGAGAGGTGTCATGTTGCCAAAAGTTTCTCTGAAAAATACGCAAAACGCCATCGTCCACCTCATGAGTTATGCTCTCACAATGATTTTTTTCGCTGTACAGGATGTATGCTTGGAAGACAAAATTTTTGTTTGAGCTGCCACTGCCTAAGGGGGGTACACTGTGTTACATGGGCATCTGGTGCATCATCTGCTTTTACAGAGTTGTCAACATAGCACTGATATATGATGTTAACCACAACCTGAGCATTATTCCCAGGATTTTACCAAATCCTGGGAATAATCAAGCATACTTTTACCTTCAAGGAAAAGAAAGTAGTTGTTCAATTGTATAAATCTCTAGCGAGTCCCCACCTGGATTATTGCATCCATTTTTCAATACCGAAAGGTATAGTACTATACCTTTCGCTATTACAGTACATCTCTGTTTCAGTAGCGTTGCATGTACATCGTCCTTTTTAGATATGATTACAAGAGCATTATGTAAGTCCCAGATTTTCCTATAGGTAATGGGGTGGTTTGTCATTAATTTGGGAGGGTGGATGTTTAACATTTTAATGAGGTTTGCTAACTTATAAAAACCAAAATGCGTATTTAATCTTTCCTGTCTTTTATATATTTTGAGTGTCATTAGACAACTGTTTGAAATTTCATATTGATGCTAAAGCCTTCTCAATGCCTTCATGTTAAAGACTGTTAATGGATGCAATCCTTTTCTTTTTGAAGGCATCTTCAGTTTTGTCCTCTTAACTTTTTTTGTAGATATAAGGGGCCTCAAAATGATTTGCATAATCTTATTTTGGAGGGTTTCAAAAAATGTGAATTATGTGTCTGTATACAGTGCGAGATGTAATGCATTGTAATCGGTCACAGATCATATAAATAAATGCAGTGTTGAACATTTTAGCGAGTCTCCCATTAATATCGTGATTCGCACCAACAAGGACTCGCAAGGGCATCAATCTCTCCCAGTGTCTCTTCCTGAGAGAAGAAAGATATACCGGTTCATTAATAGGAACTCCAAGCGATCTGTAAGTATCTTATCAGTCAAGTACACGAACACCTATGTGATAGGTGGCTGGTGGTTCGTCATGTGATGAGAACACGTATCTTCTCTACAGAGGTAATAAGTCCACAGTCTACGGGCATCAAGTAGTACTGGTTGAGATATTTTTAATAAGTCTGTATCAGAACAATCAGAATATTACATAGCATGGGGTCTAAAAATATTTTCTTATGGAGTGTCCAGCTTAAAGCCTTTACTCTCTATTTTTAACTCCATTAAATAGTACATATACTGTTATTTTGAATTTAACCTCCTAAACATTTTAACTACAGTTGAACCCTGAATTTACTGTGATTGCCTGTCTGGTAAATACCGAGACCCAATAAAATAACTTGTAGTCAACATTTGAAGATATGCAGGTTTGCATGGTGTTGAGAGTCTTCGGCATTGTCAGGCTTTTTCTTGCCTTGTCATTAAATACAGTAATGCTTTTATTGTAGTGTAGATCCAACAACAGTAGTATATCACTGATGAGCAGTGAATCTGTTACGTACTATCATACTCTTTAATCCAAATCATATGGGCCTTTCTCCCCACCCTTTGAGTTAGTTACCCAAAGATTATATTTAGGTGAATTTCTTATTGAGGAATGTCAGAAAATTAAAAAATTTGAATTTTATTTCTGTACCATGACCAACATACTTTTGTATTTCCACGTCCAATAAACCAGCATTCAATATAACGGTATTTTCTAGGCAAGCCCCGGAGGCTTCCTGAAGCAATCCGAACTGATGTGTGCTATATTAGTTTGGGGTCATCAGTCACAGGAGTTCTTATGCCTACTGAGAACCACAAGCCAGAACCCGGTCCCCACAGAGAGGTGCAGGGAGCAATGGCCTATGAGCGCTTTACATTTAAAGTATGTCATAATTGCCATTGACTGGGGAGGACCCAGAAAGGCAAGGGGAAGAAGGGGGGGGGATACTAACGAGCAGGAGTGCTAGTTGCATGAAGTGTTGCTTGTTGGGTTTCTTTCTAGGGGGAGTTATTTTCATCTTTTCGGATGTAGGTTAACAGACAGTGGTCTGTTTTGATTCGCCTGCCTTTCTAAGTCCTTCCCTTGCCGATGGCAATTATGACATACTTTGAATGTTGAGTGCTCATAGGCCATTGCTCCCTGCACCTCTCCACTAGGGCTGGATAGTAGAGTGATGGTCTCACTTCATGCAGGTCGGTGTTCAATCCCCGACCGTCCAAGTGATTGGGCACCATTCCTTCCTCCCCCCCGCCTGTCCCATCCCAAATCCTTATCCTGTTCCCTTTCAAGTGCTATATAGTTGCATTGGCTTGGCACTTTTTCCTGACAAGTCCCTTCGCCTTCCCTGTGCCTCTCTGAGGGGGCCAGGTTCTGGCTCGTGGTCCCCGGTAGGCAGAAAGACGCCTGTGACTGATGACCCAAAACTAATATAGCACGTATCAGTTCGAATAGCTTCTGGGAGCCGACGGGGCTCCCCACAGAAACAATAAATTTGCATGATTAGGGGAGGATGCTCATGTACCGAAATAACATTTTAATAACAGTAGAAATTTATACATACCTTGGTGGAGTTCGTCTGTTTGATCGATGAAGGACTACAATGCTGTTTATTTACCTTTCCTTCAAATTAGAGTACATGTGCTTGGCAGTCAGCTATGGCTGCCAGCTTTAACACTGCTCGTACCTGCACAAAATTTTTCATGGCCAATTTTTTGTTGACAATCTTGTACCTGTGTTTAAATCTGGCAATGCAAACCTGCCTGCTGCATTCCTTATTTCTTCACCATCAAATGTCATATCATTTACTGTGCTGTGCTGTCCAAACCTTTTATACACAGCCCCATCCAACTGTACATATTGTAGAGGCTTCAGTGTTTTTTTTTTTTTTTTTTTTTTTTTTTTTTTTTTTTTTTTTTTTTAATATATATATATATATATATACAATCTCTACTAGTGCTTGCTCTCTCACTCTAGCTGGTAGATATGTATATCCATGTATTTATCTTTTTCCTTATACAGTATCACAGACAGTACTCGCACCTATCCTCAAAAGTCCCTTGCAACACTGGCAGCGGAACAGCCATTTTCACAAAAGTTCAATCACTTGTAACTTATCTTTAATGGATAGGGTGACTTGCTTTCTCATAACAGCCCCATGTGGATTGGTGCTGCAACCAGACATGGTGTTAGCATAAAATGATACAAGTTTCTATTACAGTAAAAAAAAAAAGTTATGAAAGAAATTTTTCAGTAACAGAATGGCACTATGTATAATCATGCATGGGGAGAGGAAATGGCTGGACAGGTTCATGGGTCTGGGCGGGTCCACCTGGGGCACAATACGTAAGCCACCATGGGGAAAAAAATACGGTCCTCCATTTTAACAGGGAAATATACTATACAGGGTTGTTCATTTTCCATGGAACGGCCATTTTCACAAAAGTTCAATCACTTGTAACTTATCTTTAATGGATAGGGTGACTTGCTTTCTCATAACAGCCCCATGTGGATTGGTGCTGCAACCAGACATGGTGTTAGCATAAAATGATACAAGTTTCTATTACAGTAAAAAAAAAAAGTTATGAAAGAAATTTTTCAGTAACAGAATGGCACTATGTATAATCATGCATGGGGAGAGGAAATGGCTGGACAGGTTCATGGGTCTGGGCGGGTCCACCTGGGGCACAATACGTAAGCCACCATGGGGAAAAAAATACGGTCCTCCATTTTAACAGGGAAATATACTATACAGGGTTGTTCATGCTGTTTTTAACAATCGGTTATTATTTGTTATAGTATTAGATATCATATTTCTTTTATTTTATATAATCGCTGCATTATTTGAATGTAAATTGTGCTGTGATCATTGATGGCCACACATTGTTCAGTAACCTGAATGAAAATCCCAGAAACCCAAATTCTATTAGAACTTAAAGTCAAGAATTCAAACATGAATTCATTCAGGTTATTCAAAAATTTGTGTTACTGGAATCTTGATTAAGTGTGCACAATACTCTGGCTAACACCAATGTGTTTGTGTTGATTCAGAAGTGTTTTACTCAAATGTAGTTTGATTTAGTGATTCATGTGTGTTGTTTGCAATAACAAGGTTGAAAGAATTGCAGTTATCATCTACAGTGTGCTAGCAATCAAGGAGTTAATACAGCTATCCATTAAGCAAATGCATGGTACATTACCACCGACAGAGAGAGGGAGAGGGAGAGGGGAAGGGAGGGAGAGTGAGAAGGGGGGTGAAGGGAGGCAGTGTATGTGAGAGTTGCCACTGATTGATGTACACTCCTGGCAAGGCAGAAAGCAGTGTGGCTATTTTCAATTACAGGAGTTACTACTTACACACAGAAACAAATGTGTTCATCAGAAAATGTCAATTCTTACTTTGCTTGCCCGGTTTTATATACCAAATAATTGCACCACTAACATGTACCAAATAATTTCCACTGTATCAACTCATCCAGCCTTTCACATTGTAAATTAAGAAAAAGTAGAAGTTAATGTTAAGAACAGTAATTAGTATTCGTTGAGGTTTACTGTATTACATGGTATCAGATCAGAAAGGCAGTGACTTTTCTATGAATTTCCTTGAGGCTGAAATCTTGCCAAATTTAATTCAAGAAATAATGCGATTATTAATGCAAAAACAATAAATTATCACCAAATGACATCTAATGTCATTGTATCAACATTTATTTTGGTAAATAAAGTTAAAGGAATTTTCACTTGCTAACATTTAGTAAGTAATGAACAAATGTTTCTGACCTTCATTATTCAGCTGCTCCCATAGGTATAATGATCCACTGTGCCTTAAATTAATATGACTATGACTCAGTCAGGCAAGGAAACATGGCAACAATGCTACAAATACTACAGCACTTTTGTTAGACCATTTGGAGGGGGTCTGGAGTCCCTAGAGAAATGTATTAGACTAACCAAGATATATTCAGAAAGGATCGGTTCACAAGCGCAGAAAAATCAAATCCTTCTGGTTTCCTGTACATGTCAATTAAAGAAAATTTAAACTACTTTAACTGCCAGTCAAACTACTCAATTGTAATAATTCCCACTGCATATGGTAGCACTGCCTGTCAGGTAGGCCCTGCCAGCAGTATGGGATTAATCATAACACTTAATGAAGTATTTACCTTCAAGTGTGGTGGCTCAAATGAGTGTTCATTTTGGTTATACTGTACTGTATACTGTTACTTTTGTCATTGTCATCATCTTCTTGGAGAGCCTCTTGGTAGCTCCTCCAAGCTAAGCACTCTTTTGCACATACCCTAAAGAGATGCACCAGGCCCGAGACCCACCTTTGTGGGTCTTTGAAGCAATGGAAGGTCATAATTCTTGTAGCATTGGTACTTTTTTATTTTAGCATGACTGTACCACAGTTCTATTATTGCACGTGGTATCAGTGAACCTATGGGAATACTGAAGTAAAAAAAATTCCTAGGAAAGGGGTTTTTCAGTCAAAATAAATTTTCTGTTTAACATGCAATTCTACCAACACAAGTTTATACACCTATCTAATATATTGTTATTTTATTATGTTTTATGTTTTTAATACAAATTTTTGGTTTTGAAATGCATAATGTTTTTACCTTGGTGGAGTTCGTCTGTTTGATCGATGAAGGACTACAATGCTGTTTATTTACCTTTCCTTCAAATTAGAGTACATGTGCTTGGCAGTCAGCTATGGCTGCCAGCTTTAACACTGCTCGTACCTGCACAAAATTTTTCATGGCCAATTTTTTGTTGACAATCTTGTACCTGTGTTTAAATCTGGCAATGCAAACCTGCCTGCTGCATTCCTTATTTCTTCACCATCAAATGTCATATCATTTACTGTGCTGTGCTGTCCAAACCTTTTATACACAGCCCCATCCAACTGTACATATTGTAGAGGCTTCAGTGTTTTTTTTTTTTTTTTTTTTTTTTTTTTTTTTTTTTTTTTAATATATATATATATATATACAATCTCTACTAGTGCTTGCTCTCTCACTCTAGCTATGTATATCCATGTATTTATCTTTTTCCTTATACAGTCACAGACAGTACTCGCACCTATCCTCAAAAGTCCCTTGCAACATGGCAGCGGAACAGCCATTTTCACAAAAGTTCAATCACTTGTTTATCTTTAATGGATTTTGCTTTCTCATAACAGCCCCATGTGGATTGGTGCTCAACCAGACATGGTGTTAGCATAAAATGATACAAGTTTCTATTACAGTAAAAAAAAAAAGTTATGAAAGAAATTTTTCAGTATGGCACTATGTATAATCTCATGGGGAGAGGAAAAAGTCATGGGTCCGGGTCCACCTGGGGCACAATACAACCACATTTTGGAAATATACTATACAGTTCATTTTCCATGGAACGGCCATTTTCACAAAAGTTCAATCACTTGTAACTTATCTTTAATGGATAGGGTGACTTGCTTTCTCATAACAGCCCCATGTGGATTGGTGCTGCAACCAGACATGGTGTTAGCATAAAATGATACAAGTTTCTATTACAGTAAAAAAAAAAAGTTATGAAAGAAATTTTTCAGTAACAGAATGGCACTATGTATAATCATGCATGGGGAGAGGAAATGGCTGGACAGGTTCATGGGTCTGGGCGGGTCCACCTGGGGCACAATACGTAAGCCACCATGGGGAAAAAAATACGGTCCTCCATTTTAACAGGGAAATATACTATACAGGGTTGTTCATGCTGTTTTTAACAATCGGTTATTATTTGTTATAGTATTAGATATCATATTTCTTTTATTTTATATAATCGCTGCATTATTTGAATGTAAATTGTGCTGTGATCATTGATGGCCACACATTGTTCAGTAACCTGAATGAAAATCCCAGAAACCCAAATTCTATTAGAACTTAAAGTCAAGAATTCAAACATGAATTCATTCAGGTTATTCAAAAATTTGTGTTACTGGAATCTTGATTAAGTGTGCACAATACTCTGGCTAACACCAATGTGTTTGTGTTGATTCAGAAGTGTTTTACTCAAATGTAGTTTGATTTAGTGATTCATGTGTGTTGTTTGCAATAACAAGGTTGAAAGAATTGCAGTTATCATCTACAGTGTGCTAGCAATCAAGGAGTTAATACAGCTATCCATTAAGCAAATGCATGGTACATTACCACCGACAGAGAGAGGGAGAGGGAGAGGGGAAGGGAGGGAGAGTGAGAAGGGGGGTGAAGGGAGGCAGTGTATGTGAGAGTTGCCACTGATTGATGTACACTCCTGGCAAGGCAGAAAGCAGTGTGGCTATTTTCAATTACAGGAGTTACTACTTACACACACAAACAAATGTGTTCATCAGAAAATGTCAATTCTTACTTTGCTTGCCCGGTTTTATATACCAAATAATTGCACCACTAACATGTACCAAATAATTTCCACTGTATCAACTCATCCAGCCTTTCACATTGTAAATTAAGAAAAAGTAGAAGTTAATGTTAAGAACAGTAATTAGTATTCGTTGAGGTTTACTGTATTACATGGTATCAGATCAGAAAGGCAGTGACTTTTCTATGAATTTCCTTGAGGCTGAAATCTTGCCAAATTTAATTCAAGAAATAATGCGATTATTAATGCAAAAACAATAAATTATCACCAAATGACATCTAATGTCATTGTATCAACATTTATTTTGGTAAATAAAGTTAAAGGAATTTTCACTTGCTAACATTTAGTAAGTAATGAACAAATGTTTCTGACCTTCATTATTCAGCTGCTCCCATAGGTATAATGATCCACTGTGCCTTAAATTAATATGACTATGACTCAGTCAGGCAAGGAAACATGGCAACAATGCTACAAATACTACAGCACTTTTGTTAGACCATTTGGAGGGGGTCTGGAGTCCCTAGAGAAATGTATTAGACTAACCAAGATATATTCAGAAAGGATCGGTTCACAAGCGCAGAAAAATCAAATCCTTCTGGTTTCCTGTACATGTCAATTAAAGAAAATTTAAACTACTTTAACTGCCAGTCAAACTACTCAATTGTAATAATTCCCACTGCATATGGTAGCACTGCCTGTCAGGTAGGCCCTGCCAGCAGTATGGGATTAATCATAACACTTAATGAAGTATTTACCTTCAAGTGTGGTGGCTCAAATGAGTGTTCATTTTGGTTATACTGTACTGTATACTGTTACTTTTGTCATTGTCATCATCTTCTTGGAGAGCCTCTTGGTAGCTCCTCCAAGCTAAGCACTCTTTTGCACATACCCTAAAGAGATGCACCAGGCCCGAGACCCACCTTTGTGGGTCTTTGAAGCAATGGAAGGTCATAATTCTTGTAGCATTGGTACTTTTTTATTTTAGCATGACTGTACCACAGTTCTATTATTGCACGTGGTATCAGTGAACCTATGGGAATACTGAAGTAAAAAAAATTCCTAGGAAAGGGGTTTTTCAGTCAAAATAAATTTTCTGTTTAACATGCAATTCTACCAACACAAGTTTATACACCTATCTAATATATTGTTATTTTATTATGTTTTATGTTTTTAATACAAATTTTTGGTTTTGAAATGCATAATGTTTTTCTGCTATGGTTCTTAACAAAATCTATGCTTCCAAAATTAGTGCTATCTCTGGGAATGTTTCCCCTATGTAAATCAGTGTTTAACTGTATTTATCTTATGTAAGTAGCTCGATAAGCTGTTCCAGTATGATTTCCCTGTTCACAGTGACATGCTGCTGTTAGGTCAATTAAGTATGTTTGAGGGAACATTTGCATGTACAGAACTGCTAAGCTAACCCACGCTAAGTCAGACATAAGACCCAATTCTGTAACTGTTCTGTTGTTGTGGGTAAGAGGTTTATGGATAACTGGGTTCCCAAAGATCCTTAAAAAAATATATATCTAAATTTTGTATGAAATTTAAGTTTTTAAAGCTTTGAAGGCTCAAAATGAGAGCTTTTCAGTTGACACACAATGAAACATTTTATATATATTTGTTATACAGTATTAAATTCACAGTGGGGCATTTTGCAAGGCTTGGAATGACTTGTGCATCATGCTTTCTTTATGAAACCTTACACTTTGGATAAATGGTATTTGATCTTCTAAATTAGTAATGTTTTTTGGTATATTTGCTATGAAAAGGGGCCTTAAATGTTCTAAGAATTGTGCCTAAAGTCTTACAAAATCTTAGAGTTCCACACACTCATACTCAACTTTCAGCTCGAGACACGAGCTTGAATTCTCTGGGATATAACTGGATGCTGCAAAACAGTAAAGCAAATGTTATTCATCTGGTGTCAGTCATTGATTGTCGGAGCTAAAGTGTAAAGGCTTGATTTATGAAGGGAAGACATATTTATAATTGGTTCAGTTGACACTGTCCAGGGAGGCAGAATGTTGTCACACTAGATTTGAGCCTCACTCTAGTTAGTGAGCATTTTCATAATATGACTTAGAACAAACTTAACCCCTACATAAAGATAACATGTCCAGTACAGTTGCCAGTGAAACAGTTAAGAAGATGCCTTTTACATACTGTAATTGCAAAATTATAATTTCGTTGTACAGTATACAGAACTGTGCAAAAAACACCACATATGAAAGGAATCGAGAATCTTGGCACTTTCACTTCATTAAAAGTATCAGAAGGAGTCATTCTTTGAGGGTGCTTAGAATGCAGCGAAAGTGCAAAGTTTTTTGCTTCCTTTCAATGTGTTTTTTTGTGTTTTTGAGGTAGTGTTTTGTGACTTGTTGCATAATACAGTAATATATCGCCATCACATTGTTTGTATCGCTCAGTAGTGCTGTAGAATAAATAGGTTTAAAGAAGTACTGTGTTGTATTAAGACAATATAAATTATATTCAATGTGTTGGGCGCAGGCTTAACTAAGAAGTACAAATAATACAAAATAAGAAATGAACACTATACAGTACAATATATTATTATAACTACACAATCCTGCAGGCTATACACTTGCTTGGTGGAGCGCCTGGTGAACCTGTGCATCCAGAGGTGCGAAAGTTCTGCTCAGCATTGCTCAACCGAAAAGTTAATAGCGAGGTAAGTTTGATATTTTCTAGTAATAGCATTTGAATTATGTTACCAAGGTAGAAATATAATTAAAATTGGTCAGAATTCAACCTTGTATTCATTTAGAATTAAAAATAATTACCTCATTTGGGACTGGAGGGCTTGATATTTGTTTGAGTAAATAATACAGCTTGTCCCAGAGGCACTTTATTATGCATGTCTAGTGCAGATTTAATGTTTTAGCAATCTGTTTTGCATATATGACTAACATATAATTACAGTACTGATTATTCTTTTGACAGGCAGAAAATGAGAGCTCGCCTATAATCTATGTTGTGACTCCTACTTACAAAAGACCGGAGATGGTGGCAGAGTTAACCAGACTTGGTCAGACTCTGGCGATGGTGCAGAGAATACACTGGATTGTGGCAGAAGACAGTGCCACTTGCTCTACTCCAATTACTAGCCTCCTGCAGAGATTGGGTTGGTTTCATTGTTGATCAATGCAAGTTATCTTTTGGGAATGTACCATAAAATTCTTGAAAATGTCTGGATTAAAGATAATACTCTAGTTATATCATGCCCTTAATGAACTGTTATTGTAATTAGTTGACTACAATGTATGCACAGTATTTTGAGACAGTAATTGTTATAGTAAGATACCTATTGTTTTCAAAATGAAAACATTATTTTATAAATTCTTTTGTTATCAGGTCTTCCCTATACACATTTAGCTACTCCAATGCCTGATGTATACCGTAGAGAGCGATATGTACCACGCGGTGTGTCAAATCGCAGAGCAGCTTTACAGTGGGTGCGTGATAATGGCGAAAATACTGGAGTTCTCTTTTTTTTGGATGATGACAATGCTATAGACATTCGACTGTTTGAAGAAATGAGATCAACAGAAACGGTTTCAATGTGGCCTGTTGGACTGATTGGAGAATATACTGTTAGTTCTCCAATTGTTAAATTTGTAAGTTGTTTTGTTTCACTGTCCCAAAGTTTCTGACTGTTATACGTTTTATAAATAAATAGGCACACCTTTCCATAACCGTCATATTTATTTCACAATTATAATAAATGATTTTTAATATTTAAAACTAATTCACGTTTGTCCAGGAAAAGGTGGTTGGGTTCTATGATGGCTGGCCAGCTGGCAGGAAATTCCAAGTGGACATGGCTGGATTTGCTGTAGGGGTTGGCTATTTGAAGAAACAGGTAATTATTATTATTTAGATTATATTTAAAGAGTATCACTTAGACCAAAGGGCTTGTTGTTACAGTTCTGGATTCCTGTTCTATGTTTTTTAACTATTCATTTATTAATGATACACTTACAGAATAAATATACAGTATTGTATGATGTCTTTGCAAAATTAGCACATAATAATACATTTTCTGAACTTGACTACATATGCACTTTAACATTTGGGTTAAAGAATACAAGTCAGCTGATGTGTAAGTGTTGCCTCTCTTCAAAGAGAGTCTCTGGTGCCTTAACAGTTTCGCCCGGGCATGACGCAGCATTGCGTCATCCGTTTACTGTCGGTAATGCTGGGGATGATGCAGCATTGCTTCATCCACTTTAAATAATCGCCAAAAATCAGGTTTTTATCCAATTTTTTGGGGACTGGTTTTAAAATGTGCGCCGATGTCTTCCCATTTTCTTTGTTGAGCCTCGTGGCCCTCAGGTGGCTTGGCACACGCCGTGGGCCCATTGTTTTCGCTCCACTGTTGTGACCAATGTCGCCTCCCCTCGCATCTCAAACGTGTGAACATTTCGGCTATTTTCCGTGGCTATATTTCTTACTGCGGCTTTAGAAACTATCTACGCTTACTCCACGATGGATAGTGATCATGAACAAGGCCCTTCCAGGAAGAAAATTGCGAAAGAAAGGCTTGAAAAGGGCGGGAATTGGGAGCGTAGCTGGAAGGCATCTGAGCGCTCACTCGCGGCTAACGCGTGGCCCGTCTTCAACTCGTCGGCGGTTGGAGCGTGACCAGGTTTTTTATTTTATATGCTAATGTTCCTCTAGAGAATTCTATTGCGAACCCATTGAGACCAAAATGAAAGACCTAGGACAAAAATTGAGGTGACCAGAGTGAAAATAGTGAAAACATTTTATCGCGTTTGCGCGCTCCTGGGTAACTCGTTCGCACTTTCTCTGTTTGCTGCGGGTAATTAGCCGGGCTTTTGGAGTTTATATGCATTTAGTGCTGTAGAGAATTCTATTGCGAACACAATGATACAAAATTTAATCTCGTAGGACGAGAATTAAGGTGACAAAGTTGAAGAGAGTATACACTTTTCAGAATTTACGCGCGCTCCCGTGACACCCTGGGTCCCATATCGCACAGTTGAGGGGTGGCGCGTGGGGTACGCCAAAGTGTTAATAACGACAAGGAGAAATCCACACTATCAATACTCATTCAGCAACAATAATAAGAGCATGTTGTTGAGCTCTTGGTCATGAGGCCTAGTTGTTTCCTGGAGCCTCGGGGGTCTTAGGAGGCTCCAAGGTGGTTCTGTGGGGTGCTCTTCAACCCTTGGTGGCCTGTATTTACTGGCTCTAAAGAATTTTTGCTCAGCACAATGGATTTCACATATTTCAATCGATTTCAATGGATTTCATTGCAGTTTGAGCTTGATTCCTCAGTAGTACTTCCCCTCATCCTGTGGTGTATTTCTGGATTTCTATAAATTGTTTGATTTTAGCAATTATTATTACAACCAGCAAATAATATTTTTTCTAGTTTGTCTTTTTTTTTCTTCCAGAAAAAGGTGACAATGCCCTATATAGCTGGACATGAAGAAGATGGATTTCTAAAATCCCTAAATTTGAGCTTAAATGACATTGAAGTGAAAGCTAACGGGTGCACAAATATTCTGGTATGGCATACACGCACAGCAAAGAATCCATTACGTACCCTTAATTTAGATAATCATCAAAGTAACAATATTCAAGTGCTAGCTGACAACATGAGACAGATGGGAATGATTAAGTAGTCATTAGCGGTGATTTTGTGTAAATTTATATAATCATTTGGCCATTATTGCTGAAGTAAGTGAAAGCAATATAGGCCTAGTGATATTTTTATGACAAATGAGATTTAATTTTTCTCATCGATGGAATTTTAACCATAAATATGCATTACGTCGTAAAATAGCCACCAGTACTTTTATCTAATTTTGTCAGTTTCCATACTACAAACTGTACAGGTTTCCAATAAGGAGATGTCTACTTTAAAATCTACAAACTAATGTAAATTTAAATATTCTTACTTTCAGTAATTATAAAAAAGGAAGAAGAAATGCAGGAATGACCAAATATTTCTGGAAGAAGCGGTCATTTGAATACTGTTAGTACTCGTTATGAATTAAGTTGATGAAGGCTCATAGTTTTTCATCATCTAATTATTATTTTATAAAGTTTATTTATTTTATAAAGTTTCTCGGAGACACTTTTATATGAAAAATTTGTTTGCCGTTGTTTTATATATTCGGAGAGCTTTGTTTCTTCCGTTAAGGACTGGTAGATAGCATACTTGTGGCTATGGTTGCCCATTGAAGCACTTAAAATGGAGGAAGCAAGATTTGGTCTTCTTATCACCCTTGAATGGTTGTTTTCTTTACATTTACATGTAAGTGTTGATGGTCTGCTCTGTTTTCTCTGCTTCCATATTGCCCTTGAATAAATGTTGAACTAGTTTCCCAGTATTTGTCGTTCATGTGCTTATACCTTTTTATTTCTTGACATTCTTTCCCATCTGCTTTCTATTTTGCCGCAGGCTTTCCTCATCCTTCCCACACCTGCTTCTTTGTGTGAATAAGCATCAACTGCCTGACATTTTTATGGCCAGACTAACATGTGAAATTCTATTACACCTGTGGCCATAAATGGGATTGGGTGCTTCCGGAGAGATTTAACTGAGAAAAGTAATCGGAATTTAAAACCTTTAGAATGAATAATTAACACATGTTAAAAAAAGTACAAATGCATATTTTGCTATTAAAAGTGGAGTACTGTTAACACAAATGTAGGAAGACTGAAGATAATTTTTTAGGAGAATTGTTGGAGAGAAGAGAGTAAAAGGCTGAAGGCACACCTAGAGATAAAATTTAATTGGAAGTTGAGAATATAGTGAACCAGCAAGTGTGGAGCTTCCTTGCAGATGTGGTCAGTCAAACTTTCAATGCAAGTGTGGTCATGGTAAAACCTTTGGGGCAAATGCGATCCGAGTAAAACCTTTCGGTGTGAAAGTGGTCAAAGTCAAACTTTTGGTGTGAAAGTGCCTCATAAGAGGTGTCAGAGAAAAACATGTCTTGAGAATGTGGTTAGAACTTGAGTAACTTTAAAATAACCTTCTTTATGTAGCAAGAGTAGAGTCTTCATTGTTGGGGGGAGGGGGGGTAAGTGGAACCCATTGTTGCTTCTTCCAGTTTAGTAATGTATTTGCATGGGAAAACCAGCCAATTCGTCAGTATCATTATTTTCTTGCATCATGCAATTACATTATCAAAATCTTAGAGATGGTGAATGGTTGAGACAATTTTGTATGTTCTCTTCATTATTATATTATGAGCAGAACACTCAAATTTGATGCCAAGAAAAAATGTTGCACCCTGTTGCTTTATTCCGGACTGTTATTACTCAGTACATATTAAATGTAGGAATTTATATTTTCCGTAGGTTTTTATAGTTCACTGGAATCTCTCATACGATATTAAGTTCAGGGTCATTGACTTGGAAACTTGGTACCCAATTCATATAATGATATGCTTGTCATACAGTTGGGTCAACCCAGTTGAGTCTAGCCTGTAACTGGGTGTGTGACTTCATGTGCATCCTCAATAAACCCAGTAGACTTCCTATACTTGAAAATGGAAGAGCATGTATCAGCCATTTTGTTTTCTCCTTGACTTACTTTCCATAACTATTCATGAATTGCTGTTCCCTGTTTATCAAGCAAGGCAAATATTAAATTCTGATTGTTAAACCAGTCATCCAATTGTTGAATTGAACACTTTTTAAAGCCTGATATTAGTAAGATTTATATTGTTTTTATTCATTATTTTTAGCTGTGTGTTTCACCCTGAATAATTAATAATTCATTAATCAAATTAAATCTTGGTTATTAAGATTTTAAATCTTCCAATGAGATATATGCATGTTCTCTGTGGGGGGGTGTTTTTGTCAGTAGCTGGCTGACCAAAAGCTACCCAAGATCAGCTTGTGCACAGTTTATAGTGAACAAAATATATGCTCTTCCCCTGAACCCCCGAGTAGTTCACACCCCTCCATTTCCAGTACTCTTGTAAATAATATTTTCACTTGGTGTGTGGGTATTAAATCATTTATTTTATCTATCCTGGATGTATGTTCTTAAACATCTAGCAGAATTTCTTGTTTACCAAAATGTGTATCTGTGTTTTTAATACCAGCTGTTGCATAGGGAGAAATATTAATTGTTACATTCCCCTAAATTTTATTTGTACAAATCCTATTAAATTTAATTAATAGATTTAAATAATTTGTATAAAATTATTTGTACAATTTGATGTACCCATCAAATTGCTCATTCATTCATTTGTTCACCACATTTTTAAATATGCATCATTGCTTTTGAACCACTGGTTAGTAATTTAATGAAAGTTCCATTCAGTGCATGTATAACATCATTGGAGAATGTCACAGGTCCGTGCATAAAAGACGAGATCTTGAATATACAGTAGATAAAACTTCTGTTAGAATCTTTTATGTCTACTATATAGATTTCAAAATGATATTGATACAACTTGATGAAAGTGTATCACCACTACACAGTGTGTCATGTTCTAAAGCCAAGTTCTTGTATTGAAGTTGCAGGTTACAAAGTTAGGGTACATAATATGCTGTAGGTAGGGATTAATATGCTCCATGGGCACATCTCTAGTTCAGGAGTCTTCCTTAGTAGTGGATAATATTCAAATGTTGAATTATAAAACCATAATGGTTAGAAAGGGTTCCATACTGTAGTTCAGCAACTACAGTATATGTATATTTTTAAATGCAAATTGCAAAAATGTTTATAATCACGGTTTATATCTTTGAAGCCTTTGTTCCTTCTGGGAACTCCATATTTTCCATGAGTTCACTACTTGTTAAACTTTCTTCTAGTAGGTTCAAAGCCTAATAAAGGAGTACACCTATCAAAGAAATTCTACATGCGGGTGTGACTGATGTAAAAGTGAAGCTACCGTTTACTTTCACTAAGAAGCAATGAATGTGTGGAAATAATGAGGATTGCCTTCAGTATACATACACAAAAGCCAGAAAGTAGAATGGAAGAGAAACATAAAAAAAAATAGAAAAGTACATGCAAAAAAAAAAAGTGAATGGGGAAATAATATAGAATATAGTGAAAGAGTGATATGGAGGAGACAGTGGTGCAGGCTATCAGATAAGCGTAAGTGTAAACAGTGAAGAGTATCATCAGTAAGGGGACTGATGTAAGTGTTGCCAAAGGAGAGAACCATCATTAGGAGAAAGATGCATCCTCCTTTATTTCCCCCACTACAGTGCTTCCCATGGCCAACCGAGGCTAGCCATCTGCTACAACAATTACAGTACAGTATGTTAGGTGGTATATTTAATGTGAGAGCAAACATAGTGCTTGACCCAGGTACAGTGGATTTTTTTTTGTATATACAGTACAGAAATACTGTAGCACTTGTGGTGAAGCAGTTGGCCGCTTCCTTAAAGGCCATTTATGATAGTACTTTAAGATAAATTTAGTTCTATAATATAAAGTATGCAAATATATTGATGACGAGAAAGTTATTGAATTTCTTAAATGTAATTGAAAAGCTAACCAGTGTTTCTAAGCAAGGTTACCTTGACGCTTCCCTAGCCATGGCCTGGGTCTACCAAGGACATTTACCATATATCTGGATCTTTGTGAACTTTTTGTCCCACTATAAAAAAAAACTTTCAAAATGTTATGCCATGTACTGTAGTTGAGGCAAGGAGACAGTGGAGAGTCTTACCTCACTCCACAACTGATATACTTTTCAATACTATACAAAAGAGCAGAACAAATCCTTCGAGTTATTATTTGAAGTACAAGGAATACCAATTACTGCTCTGCCAACTATCGAGATAAATATTCACGGCCTGACTGGGTGGCAGTCAAGTTGTCACCATTACAGGTTCAGAGGAGTCAGTAGCCCTCTTTTTGCTTGGAGTCTACCTGTTTTACACAAAGCTCTGCACATGTAGATTCAGTTAAGTTGACTGTTTATTCTTTGAGACTTTTTCTCTTCACAGGGAGTTCACTGTTTTAGCATTCACTTTATGATGTGGTGCCCAGTCATTTGCATGTCTGTAAATATTGCTATCCTTCATCTTTGTTACAGAGTTCTCGTCCCTTGCAGTACGGTAATTGTCGAGTCTGGCATACTCGGTTATTTTTTCCGCTGTTGTTTACTTTTAGCATGTTTTGGCTCTTCTTAGGTTGTGCCATTACCTTGGTGGTGCATTTGACCTTAATCCCTTTACCAATGCTTTGGTGCTAGGCTCCCTATTTATATACACAAACTTGGGTCATTATGTACATCATCTATTGTAGATGATGCCATAGTGGTTTTAGCCTCCCAGGTTCTACTTAAGGGGGGGGCAAAAGTGACCTTTTATTACAGCATTTTATTTTTGTTTATTAAATTGTTACCTTTGACTTTTGTGTCCTTGGTAGTATGGGATTCTGTGACCATGCACTGAATACATACCTCTGCTTAATGAACCGCTACCTCAGGAAGAGGCCTGGGGTTGGTGGGCTTACCTCTTTTACTTGTATACTGTATCTTAATAGAGTACAATGGTTACTGCACTGTCTCCTGGATCCCAAGAGGTAATACAGATTCCAGGTTATTTTTCTTGGGTCCCTGGAAGAATACCATTGATTTCCGGGATTGTGCCCAGGTTTCACATGTGCATGCCCCAGATCTCTGGGCAAGTACCTGAGGGGTATTCCATGGATTTCCGGTGGATAACCCAGGCTTCCCGATTAGGGTTAACAGATCCTTAGGTGAATCCCCTTATATCGAGAGCTTTCACAGTGATGAAAAAAACGGGACTTCCTTTCAGATACACAAAAACCATTGGGCTTCATCAGGAGCACAGTAAAGTTTTGGACTTCCACCAGGTACCGTGTTGAATTTTCCCAGGTCCCAGGTGTATATCCTGAGGATATTTTTTTGGCTCTTACTCAGCAATCAGGAGCACTCTTTGTAAGTGCTGGGGACCATACCCTGGGATCTTATTTATGGGCTGCCCAGTTCCCCTGATCTCTATTCAGATGACTTATGTCCTTGGTTGAGTTCTGCTACCCCTGTGCTTGGACAGGGGTAGCAGACACCCTCCAGTGTTCTGGTGGGTGTTCAAAGATTATCACATCCTCCAGAACTACTTAGTGGTTCATAAAGGTGTATGAATAATTAGTTGTATATAATGTGTGTATATATGGTGTGATAACAGCAAAAAAGGCGTTTTATTGTTCTTATAATATATTATAGTGTAAATATTAGACAGATATGTCTGTACATAGCAATGTTATTGACAGCCCAGTGCATTGCACAGGGAAAAACCATGGTCAAACATTAAAAATACAAAAAAAATCTAAATATATTGAATGCATGCACTTACAACTTGTGCTTTTTACAGTTCTGGCAGTACATACTTTGATCACTGGTTCCGAGATTATCACACTCTTCAGAATTTCTTAATGGCTTGTAACACTGCATTATCATGTTGATATTTCTATATAATGTATATATAGAGTGCAATAACAGCAAAAACAATGTTTCATTGTTCTAAGAAATATGGTTTGCATAATGTATTAGTGATAATGTGTGTGTGTTCCGCTATTTCACACATTCTGTGACATAAAGTCTGTCAGTTTACAGCCCAATAGATAATTGTACAAAAAAAACTTTAAAAACATTAAGAGTGTGATAAAAATCAATGTATTAATGCGGAAGGCAAGAGCCACCCTTCACTACACCCAAGGTACTGTAATTTACTTTAGATTTTGAAAGCAATTTTTCGATGATAAAAGTCAGACATTTGTAACAACATAGAAAGCCAACATAATTCAAATTAAAAATCTTGTGCACACAGGCAATGTTTCTTTATTGCTAGCACAGCCTAGGGGGTTAATAAGGATAAACTCTGCAATCTCCTCATCACAATTACATGGCAAGACTATCTTAAAAGATTCTTGTACAAGGGCAAAATATTTTCTCGAGTCCAACAACTGGGTAGTGTACTTAAAGGTGCTCAGTCTGTAAATAAAGGTGAAACAAAGACACCACTGGCAAAGGCACCACTCTGGCAAATGCACCAAAGGCAAGTTTGAAAGTATATTTTAAATTTTTTCAGTTTCTTAATACTTGCTGACATTACTTAAATTGTACCTCACTGAGTAGTTGTCCATGTTCACATCATCAAATCATCATTACTATCAACTCCACTGCTGTTGCCACCACCACTTCCACCATCATTGTTGTCGTTGTCGTCATCATCATCATGGCAAAGTGTGCCATATCAATATTCATGAGACCACTATAGATAATTGAAGGACATATTCATTTAATTTGATTTATATATCTTCAGTCTTAAAGTTCACTTAAACAAAACAAGACTATTCTTAGATTTTGAAGCTGCCGTTTGTTGATTTGTTTGTTGCATTAGCCTTATACTGATGAACATTCAACTATTTTTGGGTATTAATATTACATTGATCAATAATATAATTCATATTGCAGACTTTTTGCCTAAACACACATGTGTGTTGAACCATGGCCTGGGTTTTTATATCAAGAAATTCATTTACATTAAAAACTTTTAGTGTAAGAGTTTTTATGGATATGCAGATAGTGCTTGGAAGTGAAGTCAGCTTGTGAGTGAAGACCAAGTTTTTAATATTTTGGAACTTTTATTGCAATTATTTTGAAAGTCCATGCCATCTTTATTAATTAGTTTTCTTTTTTTTTTTTTTTTACTATATACAGTATTGTGCATGTTTTGGGAATTTAAATACCCCCACATTTGTTTCTCATTATGAGGAACCAAAGCTTGGTTTTGGTTTTGGGGAAGATTATTGAAACTAGAGGTGGTTGCCCAAACTTCAACTAACTCGTTTGCTCTGTGTAGATGGTGAGAGTGCGACACTTGGCTGATCTTATCGCCTTTAATTCTTTTAACATCCTTTCATGCCTGGACTGAGGGGGATGTGAGAGTTGACTGTTAACAAAAGTTTCCCAATTATCTTTTCTGAGCTCTGTCGTGCACTCCCTCACCTTGGCTTGGGATTTCTGAAAGAGCTTGAGTATTGCTGGCATACGTGTTTCCCTATATGCAAATCCAACTCGTCTGGCAGTGCGTTTCAAAGTACGCAGTTTGGGGTCATTGCAATAGGCATGGTGTTTATTATTTTTCATATCGTTCCGACTATTGGATGGTGCTGGGGGCCGACCTAAAGGGTCGGTGACATCTGAATGTTCTGTACTAGATCATCGTTAAATGTTTGGATTGTGGATAGGTCATAAGTGCTGTTCCACTCTGACACATGAGCAATAAAGTCTTCATGTCGAGCAGGAGGAACACTGAGCCATTTGTGCTTAAAAGTCCCACCGGGCAGGATGGTATTTCAGATACACAGAGTAGTCAATCTAGGGTGATGATCTGACAACAAATCTGTTACAATAGATGATGTTTATAAGAGCATATTAATTTATTAATTTTAGATCTTTTGAACATATAGTTTCTTTTTTCCATATACAGTGTTCTAAGTATCTTCATGAGTCATTGGTTAAGAACATAATGTATTTTTATTACATCTTAATTACAGTATATAGATATTCATATATCATTGGTAACATTTAACTGCAGATATCATGTGTGATGTAGGTTATATTTAGTTTTGTTTACTTGATATGTATCCTACAGAGTTTAATGTATAACGCATTTTAAATTGCAGGCGATATGAATATAAATTTTTTTGGTTTAAGAAAGTCATTAATGTATAGTGCAACCTCCATAGAATAGTCTCTTGGGATACCATTCTGAACTACCATACTGTGTCAATGATTCCACTGTACAGTACAGGTATCAAGATTTTACCATTTCCTACTATTGCCAATAATTATTATTATTATTATTATTATTATTTTCAAATAATAAAAAGACAGCTTATATGGGAGGGCCCTCTTAGTAGCTCCCTGACCTAAGTGCTGGTTTAGTCATGCTATAGAAATGGGTAGGAGGTGGGGTACAAAAAGCTAGATCTCGCTTCCACATAGTCACTGACAGGTCAAAGTTGCAGCAGGTATCTGAGACCCATCTTTGCCTAACCAGAGTGAGGACCAGAATATGCCCTCCCTTGCCAGGCAAGAGGAGCTTGGGGAGCAGAGATCAACCCAAAACTAAGAAAACATCCACCACAAAGCAAATCTTGTGGTGCACTTGTCACTGCAATCAAGTCACAGCTGAAAGGTTCCAGGTTCAATTTGTGAGGAAGGACAAGCATTTGCATAATATTTCTTTTTACCTGATACCGCTGTTCACCTAATAGTAAATAGATATCCAGGTAGTTGGACAACTGTTGTGAGTTGCATCCTGGAGAAGGTCAGTAGTTGACCTTAGGGGACCTCAATAAGCCAAACAGGCTTCCTGTCTGTGATTGTTGGGAACCGTAAGTGCAACAAAACAAGTAACTGTTGAAAAAATTAAGTACTCGGTGGTAATGTGGCAAAGTCATTGCCATGGGGGGTAAACATCCTAACCTCGCTGTGCCTGACAGTCACCAGCCCAGATCACACCTGATGCTCCAGTCAGCCCAAACCAATGAAGCTCTAATGAGCTGCCTGAACCAAACACCACCACCCTACAGGAAAGAAGTGAACAGTATTTATTTATTTATTTATTTAATTATATGGTGATCTAGATTTACTAAGTGCTAACTAGAAAAATGTAGTTTCATTACAAACAATGTTTCATTTCTGGGAGGGCCTGCCTGGTACTTTCCTGAGTTAACTAACATAGTGCCTTGGCAGAAAGCCAGCATTTTTTAAGAATGTGTCCAGGCTTACCTTGGGTAGAAAGCAGTAGACGAAGGCTTGGGTATGAGGAGCATCAGCAGTGTTTCAGGTTTAAAGAATGTACAGTAGTTGATCACCCAAAACAAGCAGAGCTTGAATGTGTGTGATACCATAGCCAGAAAGTAGTAATGACTGAAACATCACTCTAGTTACTTCTTTCTCTTCTGTTCTCTTACTTCTTTCTGTTTCATTATATCAGTATTTAAGATACATTTCATTACTTGATAGTCTCAAGTAAAGATGTACCATTTGGCTCATGACACATGTTGGAAAATATAGTACAAGGAAGATAACTGAAGCAACTCTTACCTCTCCCAGTTCTATCCTGGACCACACCCATGTCACACCGGGTTCATAACATTATGTACCAACACTACACTCAAACCAATATGGCTCCACGCCACATAGCCTGATCTCCAGTATCATGCCCTATATTGATAACCCTTTAGCCCATCTCCACTGTTAGTAGTCATTTATACTCACAATCAAAGTTTGACTAACACCATCAATGAAGCTGGAGCCAGATTCACGAAGCAGTTATGCAAGGAGAATAGCAAGTTACTATAAAAACAGTATTAAAACTACTGTAAATACTACTAAATGTAGGATTATGATAAAAACAAGCAAATTTGAAAGTACAGTATGGGTATTCTTCCACAAAGTCAGTTTAGTGTATTGAGTTGCCCCTGATCTGGCAAATTACTGTTCTATTGTTTTAGAATGTTTGGTAGCCAAAATCAATTCTGTTGAGGCTGCACTGCATAGTATATATAGTGTATAGTCTAGTGTATTAAAATATTGTATTTGGGTTTTATAGCTGTGTATGTGTTGTAAATATGTGTGTGACAAAGTGAGGCATGCTAAAGATAACTAAATGCTTTAAACTTAGTTTTTGTGAACTAAAATTTAAATATGAAAATATTGGCGAGTTCAGTTATTAAAATTGTATCCAGTTGTATACTGCATTGTAAAACCTAGTGTCAGAGCTATACTACTTGGTGTGTCTTGTACACCATGAACAGGAGTATGTACATTCAGGTTAAAGTTAACTTTTGCATCAATACAGTGGGAACGTGAAAAGATCCCCTTTGCACTAGGGAAATAGCGGGACATTGCCTAGGAGAGCAACCGAATGGCTTGTTGAGAAAGGAGCTTTTCAGCTACACTCGTAGCTTCATTTATGATTTACCACTCGTGACATTTTAACATTGCTTGGAACTTGATTACTGTTACTGGTGGTTGTTGTGTATGGTGCTACAAATCTTTCAGTGGTTAGATCACTATCTTAATGTTTGAGGTTAACTGACTGAGTTTTTTCACAATCTTTTTATGATGAGCTATTAACATTTGTTATTGTACAGTACTGAGCACTTCAGTTAAAGATTGTTAAATAAATTTGTGATTCATTAAATGGAGAGTGAGATTTAGAATTTCAGATAAAACAGAAGATGGTCATTGTGTTCAGGTTTTATATTTATAAAAAGCAAAGCAGAGTTGTTTCGTGCTTCCATCACATTGATATCTGTGGAATCAAAAATTAAGATTGTTAATACTACTGTATTTTTAGTACATTTTGACCAGTTGAGTAAGCACTTTTGAAACTAATCACATATGTTTACATTTTTAGTATGTATTAAGCCCAGCTTCGTTTATTAAGGCCTTTAATGCATTTTATAAAGCTATATTTTACATGAGAATATTTATGGAAATATGATGCACACATTACAGTAACTGATTATTTTGATACACAAAAATCCATAAATATAACTTACACATGTGGGAGGAATACTGTATATGTAATTGTATACATGTGTATAAACCTTTATGCTATGTTGTTATACAGTGATTAATCTGTTATTGTAAATAAATATGGCTTTGATAGTTTGACAGTGAATGGATATTTTCTACTTCCCACATAAATATATGTATTATACATTAGGTGAAACATTTGACATTAAATAGTTGGTTGCAAAGCATAAACTAGGGTTCTATTTGATTAATAAGTTGCTTGTATTTGTTTCTCTAATTATGTGCATGGTTATAATGCCAAAATGTTACGTCCTAAAGTATCCATCTCTTTGCTAGTTACAATCGACTTGAGAATGGTCCAGGACGGACCGAAGCGTCGTCGTCCCTTCACTTTCTAGTGTGTGGTCTGGTCAACATATTTCAGCAACGTTATTGTGACTCCTCGTCTGCTTGCTTATGTATTGTTGGCTAAGAAATCATAGATGCTGGCACTTGCTGTCATGCCATCTGATTAGCTCAAATCCAAAAGAAAGAGTCAAGTTGATTAGACATACAGTACTCTTTTGATCATGAATTGTTCTTATTCTATACCTGACAATACTTCATTATACTGGACTGTACAAGTTCACTAAGTACTGTAAATTAAGACAGAATATTGTACACAGTGGATGACAGGATAGTAATACTACAGTAATTGTAAAATACATTACTGTATAAGGGTGCTCACCAAAGATCCTGTTGTTCCTCCACATTTGATCTTGTAATGATGTTTATGTTAGTATGTGTGTGGTAATTAAGGTAGGAGGTGGAAATTGAGGCTGAGATACTGAGTGATAGGTTTACATGGAGGAATAACACTAGAGGCTTCAATAAAAGCTGTCTTGACAGCCCTCTTGAGTGTTACTTGTTTCAAACTTATGCACTTATTCTCACACTCACTCATTGCTAGTATAGTGAATTGGAATATTTAAATTTCAGCTACTTTCTGAAGTACTGTATAATCATATTCCCACTGACTTGGTTGTAAAATCCTAACAAGTTCACAAATATTGTATATTTGTATCATGCCAAAATGTCTTGCATATACTGTTCGTTCCTTTCTGTGTCACATTTTATCCAACCTAACCATTAACAATCTCACAAGCACTGTTTATACAAACTTTTAATACTAGATTCTTGCTCTTTTCACTAGAATCTAAATAGATAAATGTTTGCAATACACTTTGTATGTATATCCCTTCTAATTGTAAAAAATTTCAGTCATGGAAAGTCCCAGTAATAAAACTTTGTAAAGCGTTGGCTGAAAGTAAAAGATTTTATCTGATCCAAGTACAGTACAGTATTCAAATAACTTTTTATTTAACATTTAGTTAACAATGTAGCATTTTCTTTTGAGAATTGCCCTACTTTTGATGCGTAGTTTACTGACCTGACATTTGAGATTGTGTGGCGATGTCACAATGTGTGGTTTGCTGAACAAATTGTTTTGTTTTGTTTATACAATAGATTACCATCTTTGCTAAAATCTTTGTTACAAATTGTATATTCTACAACTACTCATGTTCCTTAATTGGATGTCTCCCAATATTATTTTTTAATGATAACCTCACTGTTTTGAATGTTGTCTTTCTTCACTTACTAATTCTTTGTAATGTTTAAATGTTAAATGTGATGTTTAATGAATAAACAGACTGAATGTTGCATTAAAACAAGAGCTTCACATAACCATCACGAAACCAAGATTATTCTATTGCTAATGCAACTTCTTCAAGAAGTGAATATCTGGTTTGATGGACAAAAGGCAGAAGCTGCCAGCAGATGTTAAGGGAACACCAGTCTTGGATGAGTTTATCAAGGACAATGCTTCCTTTATGGAAAACATCTTGAGGCCAAGATGTTTGTCACTAAACAAAACATTGTTTGCATTAAAGGCTTGAAGCTTGATGAGCAATTCCTTGAACACTACTGGGTCTGTAATGACATTTTTGTCTTGAACGTGGTATGAATTTATTCTTTGTAAGTAAAAAAATAAATGGTTTGTATACTGCAGTGTTTTAATTTTTACCCATAAAGTAGGTAAATTTATTGGTAAAATAGAATTCTACTCCGGCACTTGGTGTTATTTTCATTTAATGCTTATCAACGCATGTGTCTGTAATTACCAAAGTGTAGTTACAGGATGAGAGCTCTGCTCATGGTGGCCCATCTTCCCAAATACTTTGTCATTACACTTTGAAACTATTGATGTTTTTGGCCTCCATCACTTTCTTGCGTAACTTGTTCCAACCGTCTACCACTCTGCAAAATAAAATTTTCTAATATATTTTTTGGCACCTTTGTTTCCCTAGTTTGAATCTGTGTGTGTATGTGTACTAGCCTATTTGCGCCAGTAAGATTGAACATAAAGATCCAGCCCTTCTAGCCACTAGTTGTTTAAAGCAATGACTGGTCCAATTTCCCTATTATTTCTCGTTTTAATAATTTGAATAAAGTTTGCTTACGCAACCTGCTTCTTTAGTTCATTCCATTTCCCACTACTCTCATGCTAACAAAACTCTAACATCTTTGACTCGTCTGAGTTTCCAGCTTCCACCCATGTCCCCTTGTTATGTTGGTATTCAGTGTGTGAACATTTTGTCCGAGTCCACTCTGTCAATCCCCTTAATATTCTGTGTTACTATCATATATCATTTCTATCACGCAATCATTTGCCCGAAACGCTGTGCGTATTAGTGGTGTATGTACTAGCTCTATCTATAATGGGACGAGCCTGGATGCAAACTTCTGAACTTCATGATGGGGCGGCATACTCTAAAACAGGTCTCGTGTAGGTAGTGTAAAGCGCTCTAAATGCGTCCCTACTTAGGGTTTCTGAATGATGTTCAGCAAATTATTTAGCACGAACAAGGGAATATACAGGTGGAAACTTAGTACCCTGCAAATGAGCCATAGAGACATCATAAAGAATTCTTTCAGCGCCAAAGTAGTTAACAAATGGAATGCATTAGGAAGTGATGTGGTAGAGGCAGACCCTATACACGGTTTCAAATGTAGATATGATAGAATTCAGTAGGACCTGTGTTGATTGGTTGTTGAGAGGCGGAACCAAAGAGCTGAAGCTCAAGCCCCGCAAGCAGAACAGGTGAGCACTCATAGTATATACTATATACTAGCAAACGTTGGGTGGAACCAGTGATATTTGTCGATATTATCAGTTTTTTTTTTTAGTAGTATTATGAATTATTAATATCCGTGAGTGACTCAGATGGTTACAAGTTAATCTTCAGGTGTGTGTGTGTGTTCAAGTGTAATATATATTATATATAATATGTGAGTGTGTATATTGAATGTTTATACATACACAAATTACACTTTTTCAACAATATTAATAAAAATAATTGTATTCATAATTGTGCATTTAAGGAACATAATAATTTGATGATAAGATTAGGGAAAGAGCTAGGTGAGCATAAAAGTAGGCATGTTGAGAGTGAGGTAATATAGAGGTGTATGGGAGTAGGATAGTGTTGGTGGTGCTATGGGAGGAGGATGAGTGTTGGTGGAGCCCCAGGCCTGGTGGTGCTATGGGAGGTGTATGAGAGGAGGATGAGTGTTGGTGGAGCCCCAGGCCTGGTGGTGCTATGGGAGGTGTATGAGAGGAGGATGAGTGTTGGTGGAGCCCCAGGCCTGCTGGTGGTATGGGAGGTGAATGAGTAGGGTGACAGTGTTAGTGGCGCCCCAGGCCTGGTGGTGCTACACTGGGGACGTCATCGCCTGCAGCAGGAGCCCGCTGGCCGGCCGCGGGGGTTATCACACACACTGCCAACTCCGCCCCGCTCCAGATGCCTACCAACACCAACCACATATTTGCTTCATGTATAGATTACCTATATGCGACGGCATATCACATAGGCAGTTTAACGTCTAACTTACGCATAGGGAGTATGGCATGGTTAGTTTATGATTAAGAGGTACCCAATGGAGAGAGAGAGGAATTTAGAACGAAGGAGTTAGTGTTTGTATGAGGGAGTGAGTCACGTGGTGTAGCAGGGATGGCCGACACCCTAAACACCCCGCCACTCTCCTCTGTCATGGCCACCAACACACACACCCAGGAGCAGCAGCAGCAGCACGCCCTGCTTCAGCCCCCTCCACCCAGGATGATATCCGAGCGGGCCCACCAGACCCTCTCCTACCCGACCTTCGCCAGCCAGTACACCAAGCACATCCAGGAGGACCTCTACCACCCTCTGGACAACCCGCAGGTGAGACCTCATATATTCCTCCTCGCCTCCCTCACTAACTTTGAGCGCTCTCTCCCAAGTCTCAGCTCCCACCCTACACACACTTGCTATACTCCCCCCCAGCCCTCCTTCCCTACTACCATCCACGACGCTCATATAGCCCATACTTTACCCAGATTATATTTCCCGCCACTGGCTATACTGTGTATAGTGACTGGTGTATGGTCGGCACCTTAAATATGTCACGTCAATATTTAAACATATTACACCTGTACGCTATTTATTTAGAATTTTCTGTGTTCTTTGGACAAATATATATATTTTCATACAATATACATGCATATATACTTCAGTTTTAAATTGTATATATATATATATATATATATATATATATATATATATATATATATATATATATATATATATATATATATATATATATATATATATATATATATATATATATATATATATATATATATATATATATATAATGTATTTTAAATAATAATAATGTTAATAATTATTATTATTAATGCATTAAAATTATAATAATTATAATTATCCTGCGTAGCTTTCTCAAGCTGTAAATAAACTTTATTATACTTATAATGTATATTTTTTGTATAGCATAGAGATTATTATTAGTATTTAAATAATAATATTGTAACTATGTTAGAGCGAGGGGGAGAGAGTTGTACAAGGAGGAACAACTGACTGGGTTCACTGTTATTGGGGAGGGGAATTGATCCACTCCATAACAAAGTCTTACCCGCCCCAGCACACGTGCGCGACTGCAGGTGGCTTCATTTGTATTTTTATGACTTTTTTTTTACGAAGTTCGCAGTTCACATGTCTTGCGTATACTTGTGTTATAAATAAAAGGCGTGTCGCAGTCTGTTTACAACCGAATTATCCCGGGTTCGATGTCCTGCGCAGGCACGTTTCCTTACACCTGATGCACCTGTTCACCTAGCAGTAACTTTGTAGGGAACTGTCGTGGGTTGCATCATGCAGAAAGTCCGCAGTTATCCTACTGCTTCCTGTCCCCTGACAATCCCATTCTACTCAAACATCTTCGGCCGAGTTCGAATTCTATATCGGGAGGTCGACTGGGCACTCATTGACTTCTTGTTGTTTTAGATTCAGCTAATCAGAACAAAAAAGTTAAAGGAGAAGGAAGTCGCTGCAAGTCTGGTGTGCCTCCATCTGGCCTGCTGTATCCAGGCATGGAGACCTCACCTTCATAAGGACATATCTGTTTTGGAGAAAGTTTAGCAGTGACGAAAATTATCCCAGAACTAAGTCAACTCATGTCTGGAACGGTTGAGGGCCACAGGACTAACCACATTACAACCCAGACACGACAGGGCTGATCTCATTGAGACATTTAAAATACTGAACAAATTGGAGGATATTAATCCAGACCACTTCTTTAAAAGATCAAATGTAATGCATACAAGGAGCAATAGCTCCAAGCTTCACAAATCACAAAATAAGACAGAAAATAGAATTCTTTTTCACCCATCTATATTTAAAAGAGAATGTTTGTCCGAGGTTGGAGGCCAGACACTTGTGGCTAACCTCATTAAACTTTGTAGGATTAATGGTGATTTGATCAGGACAGGGGGACACGGCCCCTGTGCCGTGTCCCCCTGTCCTGATCATCCGCATCAAGCCTGCGGATGTGAAATGTTCAGCCTCGGATCCATAGACTTTACCATTAGTATAACTTTAATAATAATAATAATAATTTTTATTTAGGTAAGGTACATACATAAAGAGATTTTACAAAGTTTGTTGGCTTTATAGATAGAGCTAGTACATACAATGCCTAAAGCCACTATTACGCAAAGCGTTTCGGGCAGGATAAATTATTATAACTTGATAAATTGAGTTTCCAGGGCAACCATTTGGTTACAGTAATGGAGATAGTGTATAGGGACAATGGTTTACAATGATGGAGGAGAGAGGTGGGACGTGTGGAGTCAGTGTTTGGAGGTGGAGGGGTGGATAGGGTGGTGGGGGAGGGGTGGATAGGGAGGTTGAAAGAGTCTGTGTGGAAGGGAGACGAGAGATGATGGGGCAGTGTGGTGTGTGGAGGCGGGGTAGGGTATGTGGGCGTGTCCTGGATATCAGGTCGACTCGGGCACCGACGGATACCACATTTAGTAGGGTTATAAACCCTATGAACCCTAAAACATGGATTCAGTTCAAAATCCAGCTGGAATAAATCCTCTAACAATGGGGAGACCTTTGAAAAGACGGCGGCTTCCAGTCCCCATCGAGACCACTAGAAAGATAGTATCCCTCAGGTAAATGGATAAGTATAGGAATAATTTACTGTGTAGATTAGCCGCCTCTGGCGACAACAATCATCTAGCCTAACTATATCACACCTCCATAATCTCCCGAGACTGGAGAATGCCTACTACTACTATACAGACATTTAAGATGCTGAGTAAGTCAGAAGTCAATTACCACTACTACTTCAAGAGGTTCAATTATCGTGACTCGCATAGGAATAATTTATCACTCACAGAATAATAGTTTTATTTAAAAGCCTATCGCTGAACTCATGGAAGTGCTTCAGTTCAAAATGTCTGGAACTCAGCAAGAATGGCCCCCGAGAACACGAGATGCTTTTTTACTCACAGGGTTATAAACCCATGGAACCGCCTATCCGCCGAAGCCGTCAATGCAAAATGATGAAATCAGTAGTGGAAGGGTTTCAGACACACTCAGTAACTAGCAGAACCATCCACGCACTGACCAGCAGGATCAACTCCGAGTCACCATCTATCGACATCAGCAGGATCAACCCCGAGTCACCATCTATCTACAGATCAACAGAATCATGTCCCTCCAATATAGTGCCATATATAGCCATTACAGTGGAAGACGTTTATTATTAGCAATCATATTTCAATATAAGATGTGAAAACAACGGAAAGTAATGTTCAACATCCAATGAGGTATGATTAAGATATTTTGAGCCCCTCTGTAATCCTTTTGCACGACCTCTCACAGTGTGAATATGGGGTGCACAATAAACTACCTCACACAGGACGAGTATGGGGTGCACAATAAACTACCTCTCACAGGACGAGTATGGGGTGCACAATAAACTACCTCTCACAGCATGAGTATGGGGTGCACAATAAACTACCTCTCACAGGACGAGTATGGGGTGCACAATAAACTACCTCTCACAGGACGAGTATGGGGTGCACAATAAACTACCTCTCACAGGGTGAATATGGGGTGCACAATAAACTACCTCTCACAGCATGAGTATGGGGTGCACAATAAACTACCTCTCACAGGACGAGTATGGGGTGCACAATAAACTACCTCTCACAGCATGAGTATGGGGTGCACAATAAACTAACTCTCACAGTGTATGGGGTGCACAATAAACTAACTCTCACAGTGTATGGGGTGCACAATAAACTACCTCTCACAGGATGAGTATAGAGTACACAATAAACTGCTGTTCACAGGATGAGTATGAAGTGCACAATAAATTACCGCTCACGATGAGTATAGCGTGCACAATTAACTACCGCTCACAGGATGAATATAGAGTACACAATAAACTACCGCTCACAGGATCAGTATAGAGTACACAATAAACTACCGCTCACAGGATCAGTATAGAGTACACAATAAACTACCGCTCACAGGATGAATATAGAGTACACAATAAACTACCGCTCACAGGATCAGTATAGAGTACACAATAAACTACCGCTCACAGGATCAGTATAGAGTACACAATAAACTACCGCTCACAGGATCAGTATAGAGTACACAATAAACTACCGCTCACAGGATCAGAATAGAGTACACAATAAACTACCGCTCACAGGATCAGTATAGAGTACACAATAAACTACCACTCACTGGATAAAATTGGGTGCACAATAAACTATCTGCCGCTGGCGATATAACAACTCTACCTCGTAGTGTTTGAATAAAGTCCAGAATTTGATCATTCATTTTATTCATGTATAGTATCCAAATGAAATTATAAACACATAGAGGCTTGACTTTGACAAATTACAAATCACGTAGGTAATCTTTCTACATTACACCCAGCTGTACTTGTGAGTCTTAGTCTTATCTGCTGTTAATGTGTGATATCTAGATATCACTGCTGATACCACTAGTGATATGAGTAGATATCTACTCTGAGTTTAGACGGCGTGTTATTATTTTTTTGCCGACGACTTGCACAATATCAGTACGTAGTGCAACTCATGTCATTACCCTAACCAGTGATATAATAATTTTTGTAGTTTATCTTCCAATATTACCCCATTCCACTCGACCTTCAATCTAGTATCATATATGAACCGTATTCTTTTGAGTTTGAGTTCAGCCATATATCTCTGTCGTATATATACACAAGGGTGTATATTTTATTATTGCTCTGTTTTTATTTATTTGTTAAGTTATTTATTTTTGGGAGGGGGAAAAATGGTGGAAATGGAATATCTTATAATTCGTTATCGGTGTTTTAACCATTGTTTTATCCATTCCAGTACAGGATTATATTATTAACGCATTGCATGGAAAGCATCCGGGGAAACTTTTGGGAGGCGTTGGGGGGGGGGGGGGGAGGGTTTCAGTATCATTTTTTTCTTGTTCTTTAAAAGTTCAGCAACCTTGTTCAGGAGTACTTTGTTCCCCTCTGACCACGTGCCACAGCAGCACGTCATACAATGTTCAGGCCGGCATATGATGTCCAGCCTGTCATGTAATTCTAGTACACGATACAAATCCTAGCATTTGATGCAGAACCCAGGAATAAATCAGAACACAAAAACATACTTCTTTCTTGTATTTCTTAGGGCATCATCAATATGGCTCAAGCTGTCAATCGGCTCCTGGAGGAGGAAGTCTTGGCTCGGATAAATAAACCAGATGCATTGACCCTAACCTCACGTCACCAGTACTACTCGGACACCTCAGGCATCACTGAGCTACGGACTGCTATTGCAAACTTACTTACTCGCCACCATAAGCCAAGCAAATCTATTAATCCAGATAATGTAAGTGTTTTAGCAAAGTATTTGCAGATAAGTGTGTTTGTACAGTGTTAGGCATACAGTGTGTCCATTTGTGCTAATTTAACATTGCAGTGATAACAGTAAATTGCAACATTTTATTTTTTAGTTCAATAATGCAGATAGAAATTTACAAAAGTAGTTTGATTGCCCATAATTTATTATGATCTTACTAAAGAACTGTAACATAATTTTTGTACTTAAAACAATGTAGTTTAATCCATTAAATTAATAATAAAATTAAACGCCATTATAATATTTACAGTACATATATTTTTGCCTTTAAGACCTGTAATAAAGAAGTTCAGTAATGTTCTTAGTTCTAGACAGAGCTTATCAGATGATCATTAAATATTTCCACAATATAACAAATTTCAACCATTACTGTTGTTGTTAGTGATGTATGTGAATTTGTACATGTAGAATATCTTCATTATATATATTTTTAAATTGTTCTTTCAAGTTAGTAGTGATGAATGGAGTAACAGCCTGTTTGGATGCCCTCTCACATACACTCTGTGACCCCAATGATGTAGTCATTACTCCTACACCTGTCTACGGCCGCATCTATACCGACTTTCATGACCGTTCAGCAGCTACTGTAGTGCCACTTGTCTGCTCTCAAGAGGTAGGATAATAATGTCGCTAGTAAGCTATAGTGCAGGGCCAAATGATCGATTATTAGTGGAGTACCGTACTCTATGCTTAGATTATAGTTTATAAATAACTAGAGTGGATACCTGCGCTCAGGTCTCTTCACCCTTCCCCTTCTCTTTTCTTCAACCCCCCCCTCTCCCTATCTCCCCTCTCTTCTTCCCTCTCATCCAATCTTCCCTCTGAAAATTACTAAATAATTACTAACAATTACTAAAATTACTGAAAATTAATAAGAGCCCTAAAAATTACTAAATAACTCTATGGAAAACACAACCTTTGTTTCAGACTTGACTTCATTAAAAATTGCTGAGGGGGGATATCAATATTTCTTAAAGGGTAGCACTGGGGCCAACTACGATTGGCATATGACACCCCTCCCTCCCCCCCCCCCCCCCCCGTTCCGCGTATGAAAGTTGGACTAGGGTAGACCTTAGTGTCTGGCCTCCATCCTTGGTCAGACTAACATACAGATATACAGTAGATTTTAAATCTATATGAAAATACTGTAGAGATATAGATTTATATACAATACTGTATTTAAATATAATTCATTGTGTTAGTTTGGGGGAAATTTGAAGTGTTCTCAAATAGGAATGGTATTATCACTATTTTTTATTATATATCATGTAGCAATATCTATATGTTTAAATACAGTACAGTACTGTATTGTATGTGCTGCAATGACAGCAACAGGGGAAAATAAAAGACTATAGATAGTCTAACTAGAAATATAGAAAATAGCATGATTTATGTATACTGTAGTAATTGGTAAATACAATACTCTACTGTACTTTATATGTATACTTATATCATTTATATATTTCAGCTGAATAAATTATAAACAAAGTCATTTATACAGTATTCAAACACTAGTTCATTCATATTGACTGCTTACCCATCTGTATTTTGTCTGCATTAAGTTGTTCAGTGAATCTGTCTGATAAGTTATCTAGTTGTGATGACTTCTGAGAGGAAAGTAGAACTAATTAAGGATATCAAAGGAGGCTTCCACAGAAAAGTAAAGTGGCTTGCTCTCGTGAGCAAGTCCTACTGAATCAAATATTCTAGAAATGGTGGCAGACATTATTTGGAAGGAAGAGGAGAAAGAAAAGCTTAAAGCAAGCTTAAAGGAGAGTAAGGGTAGGGAAGGGAACTATCAAGAGAAAACACCAAGCCATTACGACTATACAGCATTTGGAAGGGATCAGGAGAAGAGTAAGAATTTTAAACTGAATTTAGTAAATAGATGATAGACATTAACAATTCATAGATCTGTTTTTTAAACATAAAAATACATGGTAACAAGCAGTTAACAATTAAAGACTGTTGTTTATGTTATTGCTCATCTGGGAAAACCAAGAGCTATCCTCATGTTATGAAACAGTGTAAATATCAGGTCCACCATTCAGTAGTTTAATTGGAGCATTCATCCCAATTAGTCTTTATTGATATATAGTATATTAAATATTGTACCTTTGTATTAAGATGAGAATAATTTTGCATTCTGTAATTGTTTCTGGTTATTATAGTCTCTGAACAATATTTAAAATATTATGAAAACTACAAAAATATAATATTTATATTTTTTCATCAGGACAACTTTTCTTTTGACCCACAAGAATTAGAAAAGCTCATACAGAATATAGAGGATGAGGGTCGATGTGTCCGTGCATTGGTGCTGTTGAATCCCCATAATCCCCTTGGTCATATTTACTCCAATAGTCAGTTGAGAAGACTCCTAGAAATATGTGCTCAGTAAGTTGCACTTGCCAGTATGATTAAAATTTCATTATTGAATGCTCGTAAACATCAATTTTTATACAGTACTTCTGTTCTTCTAGTGTCAGCCAAGGCCATTGTAAATGTCAATATCATAATTCATTTTATATTCTTGATTTATGTTATTACTGTAATGGAAATGAATTATACTGTATTTTACGCACCTTGGAGACCTCTCAGTAATTTAGTCTTGTGATATTTCAGGCATGAAGTCCATGTGATCATTGATGAAATTTATGCCTTTTCAATATTTGATGAAGAGGAAGGCTTCAGCAGTGTACTTTGCTTCAAATCTCTACCTGATGCACAACGAACACATGTTGTTTGGGGATTTAGCAAGGTGAGCTGTTTGACAGGTACTGAACCTTTCTGGGGGAGCTACTGGCAGCTTTCTTAAGCTATCTTGCTGAGATTGCTCCATGCAAATGGGTCACATTAGATGCAGTTCTGTTTGGCCTAATGGGAAACAGAGCTAGAACCTAGCCCCCCCCCCCTCCCCCCACTCCCCCCCTCCCCCCACTCCCCCCCTCCCTGAGTGAGAGAGTGAGTTAAAATTTGTCACCACACTAGGAGAGCATTCAAAAAGTTAGTGAAGCTTTACAGACAACTGGATGGTTAACAAAGACCTAAGCCTTGAAACTGCCAAACAACTCCACAAATGATTCACACAGAACAAGAGAAAAGTTTCAAAATTAGCCCAAAACTCATAGTACTGAATGCCATCACCAAGTGGCCCGATTTCCATATGCAGTCATCTTCCTTCGTTCATTTGCCAGTGTTCAGCTGAACAGTAGTGTTCCTGGTCTTTCAAATGTGGCAAGCCCCTCTGCTTCAGGCTAAGTCCTGGCCATCCTTGGACATGTTCCTGAAGGACATGGCATCTTTTTGTCATGATGGACGTCTTTTTGTCATTGATATGCATGATGAACCCTTATGCCCGAAATACTATGCGTGCTAGTGGCTTTACAAGAATGTAAAATCAATTTTTTAATTTCTATGTTCTCTGTTAACCCCCAATGTACCTTCTTGTATATAAATAAATAAATAAATAAATTATGTACTGTAATTGCTTAACATTGGCTGCTTAGCATTAGATGCCAACATAAGACTGATTATGCTAGAACATGCTTATACATCACAATCCCGTCCTGATTGCATATTCTGTTCAAGGTGTAACCAGGCCCCAAGAGTACCATAACATTCCAGATTTGCTGATATGCCAGATGTACAAGAAAGTACCTCACTGTCTCAGTGACATTCATTAAGTGATGACTAGTTACTGCATATTTGTGTATGTCTCAAAATATACTTATTGCCACATAATAATCTTCTCTTCACTGTGGGCATTCTTACATATTGAAAATGTAAGTTACTACACATGGCATGGTGCAATGTATGGTGTGCATTATTTACGGTAATAATGGTTATCTAAATAAAATGAACACTGCAGTGCTAATATTCTTTTGTTTAACTTGCGTAATACTGATACAGCCCATTTAATAACTGATTTCATTTAGGATTTCTCAGTTCCTGGGTTTCGTCTGGGTATGATCCACAGCTTAAATCCATGGGTTTTGTCGTGCCTTCGAACATTATCACATTACCACTCCTGTCCACAACTTATTCAGCATGCTGCTGCTACTCTCATAAATGATGAAGGTATGTTTTCTGCTTACATATTTCAATATGTGCAGTCTGTTTTAGATAATACCTATCAGTAATGGATTTAAATCTGTAATAGTTACAGACTGGAATTCTGTAATTTCTTATACTGTACTCATCTAGAATTTATATATACAGAATTATGGTGCAACAGTTTTGTAATTCATAATACTGTACGTATTCTGTCATTCTTTTCTTGTAGAGCATTTGACTCGTTTAACTGACTAACTGCTCTCAAGTGGAACAAGGTAGCAAAGACGGTTATATAGTTATTCGTATAAATTGCATAACATGTTTAGCCACAATAGTGTCTCTCTGTTCACAATTGTTTAAATATGTCTGTAATTTAAAAACAGCATTTCTTTTAAGCATGTATAAAAGATATAGTAATAGAAAAAACAATATTTACTACTTGTACATATAAAGAAAATACACATAGGTTTGTTATTCACTTATTGAGAAATCAGCTATTTTCATCCTCAGATTTTGCTTGAATTTACCAGAAGGCTACCATTTCAAGTGGCCTCAAAGGCAACAAGAAGCTGATGGCTTACAGAAGGTTTCCCCATATTTCTGAGAATATTTCCCAGCTGTATTTTAAACTGTACACTGTCTTAATATTTACAGCTTCAGTGGGTAGGCAGTTCAATTGGTTTATTACCCTATGGGTGAGATATATGAGCTGTGCTATAGTATTAAGAATCACTATCAGTGTAATAGAATATTCTTTGGGTACTGAAATAACTAACTCTAGTACACAAGGCAATCACAGTATTATCTATGAAAAAATCATTCTTTACCTTTAGCATGTCATGGCCTAGGGGTAAGGCACACATTTGGGGTGACCCAGGATGCTGGTTCATTCCCTGATCTGCTCCAATTATTTTCTCATAACTAACTTGAGTGTTTTATGGACCTGTTCCCCAGGAAGGGCAAGTTTGCCCTCTTTATGTGCAGGGACTAATTATTTATAAGTCCACCAATTCATGAGGCAGGATTTGCTGTCAAAGACTGAGTGAGGCCACTGTAGGACTAATTATTTATAAGTCCACCAATTCATGAGGCAGGATTTGCTGTCAAAGACTGAGTGAGGCCACTGTAGGACTAATTATTTATAAGTCCACCAATTCATGAGGCAGGATTTGCTGTCAAAGACTGAGTGAGGCCACTGTAGGACTAGGCGATAGTGTTCCACTTAGTCAACTCGACACATCCAACAATAAAAATATTAAAATGGTCAGTATTTAAGAAGGCTGTTGAGATATTGCCATACAAAATAAATAACATGGTATTGAGTTTGTAAAGATTTATGATAGCATTGCAGTGTATGCAAATTAGGAGAAGTGATCGTAGTGACAGTTGGCAGTCTTGGTGAGTGAGCCATCCAACCCCAGTGATATTGCAGGAATTATTGTTGATTCCTTCTTCTGCAATTCATGATACTGCAGCAAGAATGCATCAGTTAATTGCCAAAACCCATAACATAACCCATTACAGTATACTTTATTGTAAACAAATACAATAAAGTTTACTTCAGTACAAAATTTTGAGATACAGAAAATACAATGAGTACTAGAAATTACAGAATTCCAGTCTGCAACCATTACAGATTGCTATTAATGGTTTTGCTGTGCTTCATGAATTAAGATTTAATACATAAGCTAAGGTGCAGGACAAAATAAATAAAATATTGCATTTATCAGGGGAGGAGTATAAATTAGATCATAATTTATAGAATATAGTAAAATGGAAAAGTTGCTAGATTTAGTGACTATTTTTGTTTTGAGCAACTAATATTCTAATTATATTTCCATATGTTTTATTGGAACAGAATGGTGTGACGATTTTTACATTCCTACAAGCCAACAGAGGCTCGCTGAGGCATACCAGAAGACTCGTCAGCGTCTGGAGGCAATGGGAGTAGTGGTGAGGCGAGCCAAGGCGGGTCTTTTTATCTGGGCTAGCATGCAGGCTTTCATGCAACCTTGTACTAAAGAACAGGAGATGGGTAAGCTGGGAGAATCATCACTTTTAAACCTTAATCAGTGGTACCCTACACTTTATTTAACTTCAAAATATCACAAAAGATCATTGTAACGTCATCTGCATGTATTGAGGGTAAAAATGAGCAGTCTTACACAGATCTAAGTTTCTTTCACTAAATTTAGCCAGAGACAGCAAAAGTAAGACAAATAAGAAATTAAATATTTTTCTTTTGCCTATGTCAAACATTATATTATGGCACTGTATTTATATTTTTTGTTGCTTATTTCTTCATCTTTATGTTCATTCATTAATTCTTTTGTTCAGTAATAAGTTAGATATACAATATAAGAAATGAGTTAAATATACTAGAATACAGTATATTGATGGATTCTAACGTGAACCTTCCTCGCAAAATGTAGTTCAACTTTTGAATGATTTTTGTATATTCTGAATGGTTTAGAGGAAGAAGTTTATCCTTTATTTTATTTTATCCTTTAACTATTTTGTATTTTTTAGGTATTGCAAATAAGGGTATATTCATGTGTTTTATGGTTTAGGTAAATTTGATTTCTTTTGGTTTATAAATACTGTATATAGCTTTTTCAGAAAGAACTCTTACATTAAGATATTTTGTGTTAAAAACTGAATTGTTTTATCATTGATTTTCACCAACAGCTTTGTTTATGGCTTTGGTAAATGGGGGTGTCTGCATATTGCCTGGCCAGAAATTGCAATGCGTCAACCCTGGGTGGTTTAGGATAGTGTTTGCTGTGCCAGAAGAAGAACTAGACAAAGGTAAGATTGAGAGAGAGACAATCTATCTGAAGCTTGCATGGATCAGGTATATATTCACTCCTGACTGCACTAATGCTGAGTATTTTGGTCATTTAGGTTTCACCCATGTGTCACAGTAGTGTAGTTTGTTGCTTCATTGAAAGGGTCATCATAGAATTCATTAACATTTACAAAACTGTAGAACTCATACCAGATGTATATTTTGCATTTATAATAATTCATTGTGTCGGGGGACAGAAAGCCAAAGTGTATTCATACACACTAGGCTTTTATCGAGCTCCCCCCCCCCCCCACCCGCCAGGTCAAATTACTGACCCTGCCCAGGATGCAACCCCACAACAAGCTGAATATCTCCTGAGTACCTACTTACTACCGGGTGAACAGGCCTATTAGGTGAAAGGAAATGTGCCAAGCCATTTCTGTCCTGCCTGGGTATTTGAACCCATAATTCTCAATTGTGCATCGAGAATGAACCTGACTGTACTACCTGGACTATTAAATTTGAAATGCATTTGTAGATTATTAGGAATGTTTGATGTGGAAGATAAGACTAGTTGTGAAAGTAGAACGTTAGATATTAAAAGCACAAACTTAATACTTTTTCCCATCTTATATTGTTTTCTGAGTTAGTATTAAATAACATGTGGAAATAAACATACACAGTAGAACATCTCTGAGCAATTCTGTGATTTCATGGTGTAAGCTATCAATACTTAAGGATTTTTCTTAATATTCTTTGGATATTTCTGTATTTAATCATATATTAAACATGATATTCTTAAGTGTGCTGCAGTTGCAACAATCTTCTCCAACATGTTGTGGGCTGATATTCGGGTTTGGGGGTTTTGAGGTTTAACAGTGTCTTGGTGGTCTGGTATTTGGTTATTGTCCCTGGTCCCAGATGGTCTTGTGTGGCACTGGGCCAGGTTTCTCAGCCTGTTGTCTCTAATTCAGATTAGGCTCTGCCTTCTCTCATCCTTCTCAAGCAGGTATCCTTTCTGCTAAGTCCCTTGTTTTCCTGTGTCTGTTGTTAGCCTTAGGGAGCCACCAAGGGGCTCCTCCTAGAAATCAAGCATTGCATGTAATGAAACACTTCTTTCTGGTAAAACACCAATGGTTCCCCTGACTCCCTCCCTCCGTACCAAGTTTGTCGGTTTATTGTCTGTTTGCTTTGGACTAGGTGATGGGGCGAGCATGGGCCAGGGTTCCAAGCTGCCTAGTTGTGGCTATCAGTACTAATGGGTTTACACCAGTTAATGAATCTCTTTGTTTTGCCTGAATAGTTTGTGGAGTCATTTGGCTTATTTCGGTGCTGCATTTTATATGAACCTAGCATTAGTTAGTAAAGCTTCACTGATTTTTCTGGGTGCTTTCCTGGTGATGGCAACAGTAATAGTCTCCTGCTCCTTGTGCCTCTGTGAGAGGGAGCCAGGTTCTGGCCTGTGTCTCTGGTAGGCCTAACAGGACTCCTGTGACTGATGTGACCCAATAGTTGGGAGCCATCTTAGCGAGATTGTTTACTCTGTTTGTAAAGGATTTTGGAAATTATCACCACAATATCTTCTGTGCTTATTTGTAAGAACCTTTTAATTTTTGCAGGACTTTCAAGGATAGAAGCTGTTTTATCAGTATGGAAGAAAACTAGCGAATCGGAGTCTTCATAGTCATCAGGTGAACATTGGATTTCTTAATTTTAATGTAGTTGTTTAGCTTAGTCATATTTTTTTTAAATTTAACATTATGTGTGACAATTCATGGTGTGGATTTGTCACTGATGGAACACCTTTGTTTATGTGATACTATGAAAACCATGAGAAATTGAATAGGAACCTCAGGATCTGTAAGTTTCAATGGGCTTTCTAACACATCTAACTGTTAGTTGTTCAAACTATAGTTACCTCGAGTTTCCATATATCAAAAGCTTTAAAAGATGTGTAGAGAGAACATATACTTTTTAAATAATGAAAGTATTTAATGAGTTTCCTATTTCATATATTGTCTTGTAAGTACTGTACTGTACCTATCAAATTGGCATGAGAAAGTTCAAGCTGTAGCTTCCTAGTAGCTTGAACTCTTTCTTGCAATTTTGATGAGTACTGTACAAATATCTTTCATTTAATTGTTGCTCTTGAGTAATGTTGTTGAGTATTTGGAGTTAATATGCTATATCTTACTATTTAACATTTTTGGTTGATATTATAAATGTTTCCAGCTGATGCTGACTTCCATTGGGTCCAAGTATGAACATACATTATCCAAACTTGTGCTTTGTGTAGAGTCAGCTGAATTTATATTTATAATGCAATAGCTGCAAGAATAGTCTATTTGTTTGTGCTCTTGTCATTTCTTGCTCACCCACATAAAATTCTTTAATTTTTAGTGGTTTTAACACATAATCAAAACTGGATCCTTAGGTGGGAGGTTTTTACAATAACGTCCTGCTTACTACAGTAAAGAAAGGAATGATATGAATAATTTTCTTCTGTAGCTCTTTAATTATAATGTAATTTGCCAGTAGGATGAATTGCCAACTGCCTGCTCAGCATGTTCATTGTAAAAAGAGCTGTTTAGATGTTGAATTAATCTATATCCATTTGAGCCCATTTTCTTGTATACATGTTTTATCATTCATTTTGAAGCTTTTGAGTCAATCTGCATGAAATTTGTTAATGCTGTGGATCACACAATTTAACAAAACAAATTTCTCTACCATATAAAACAGAACGGTTTAAATTTAATAAGCAGTATTCAGTGAGTGAGCATAGTTTGAATGAAAGGTATTAAGTGGTGTCAGTTTTCTGGTAAATAGTAAAAAGGCTTATTTGTCGGTGATGCTATATGGTGTTAATGCAGAGACGTGTGATAAATATTTGTAACATCTATGACCTTCTTTCAATGTATTGTTCCCCCCACCCCCCCACTTTTTATTCTCTAGTCTGATGCCTCCCAACCACATGAAAGTGGGGAACAGAATGAGTATAATAGTGGTATAATTCATGTCCATTTCTTAGACTATTTATGCACAAGCTGTACCAAAGTATATGAATGTCTGATAAATATTGTGTAAAACTGTTGCATATTATATTTTCACAGACCTTTTCTGAATTATTTATTCACTACCTACCTGTTGACTACCTGTTTTTGTTAATATTAAGTTTTGTGTGTAATCTGTTTTAAAATATTAAGAAATACATTAAATTTAGCAAAAGCTGGATTCAATGTAATATCAGAGAGGGTCCAGTTCAAATTAATCCATTCGAGTGGGAGTGGTGTGCATACTGTGTTGATAAATTATTGTTATATTAAAACCAAAGAAGATTTGATTGTTTATAGTTTTCAGAAGTTTATCTGAGCTTCAGAATCATCTCTTGAAAACAGGTAATACTTCAGAACCTGATTGCTATATGCTCACTGCCATTTGGTAACACATGTTACAATCCATCTGTGCTAAATTTTCATAAATAAAATGCACTTACTGGCCCCCCCATCCCCTGCCTAAAGCCAGTTGCTTTCCAAAAACTAGTCACTGTTTGATAAGTGAGATAAAAATGATGCTGGTATTATATCTAGTTGTTCCACAAAAAAAATCTACATTAATTGATAAAACAATCAGTATCAAATAAATACCTTTGATTCAGTTTCATTTTAATGTATTAGTGCTGAGTTATTTTAATGTATTTTGCATCCCAGTGTCACTGTTAAAAAAACAGTTACGAAGACTGGGGAGGAAAATTTTGGGACTGGCTAGGAAGACATACTAGTACACATTACCTTTGTCACTGAAGAAATCACTTTTTATTACCTGTCATTATGTGATTACTTAAATGTCAATGCAGTAGCAGTATTATAAATGTGTCCCTAAGTTTATCACCCAAATAAAATCATCAGTGTTTCAAGAAAAGTTTTTTTTAATTCTCAAGTACTGGTAATAGTGAAATTTGCTTTATTTATTTTTTTAAATTAAATAAATATCTATAGTACTGTATCATCTTTGTAAATTTGTATGGAAACTTTACTGTTAATATTATTCTGTTGGCCAAATGAATGTGTGTATTTTTTTCGTGTGAGACTCCTGTGCATGTCATGGCACAGTAAAATCAGTGGGAGAATTCATGTGTAAAAATTCAGAGTAGCTAGAAAATCACATGGAATTCCTATTTATGTAGTGGTCATAAATGGGTTTTGGGGGGCTTGTATTGCAGTACTGTATTGAAATTAAATTATTATGATATTTATTATTTGCACCATTATTTTCCTACTGCTATTCACTCCACACTCCTAAAGTTGTAAATCATCAAGCTATTCTACACATTGTATTGTGTACAGTCTCATGCTCATTCACCTAAGAAAAGAGGTGTGAAGCCCTGATGGGAATGATAGCGAGATGTGTGAGAAGCTCAACAAAACATTCAAGGTGGTTTATATAACAGAGCCAGTGTGGAGTACAAGGATAAGATGAATGATAGCCAGAAACAATATTTGAAACACAGTAGCCACTCTCAAAAATATCATAATTACCTGAGGGCCACCACCTCTAGATGCTGCAATGAAGACAGGAGGCTGGTGGCTTGTCAGGGACATCCCATTGTTCCTAATTTTTTTCCAACTGGATTTTGAAATAAGGTAATGTTTTAGTATGTAAGGCTTTGGCAGGTAGGTGGTTCCAATAGTTTACAACCCAATAGGTCAAAAAGAATCTCATGTTTTCTATCCTACATTGTGGCTTGTTGAGCTTGAAGTTGCTTCTCCATGTACTGTATGTGTTATATTTGACCTTTTAAAAAAGTGGTCCGGATACATATTCTTCAACTTGTTAGTACTGTATTTTAAAATTTTCAATGAGATCAGCCCTGTTATGTCTGGTTTGCAGAGTTGTTAATCCTGTGGCCCTCAACTGTTCCTGGTATGAGAGTAACTTAGTTCTGGGATGATTTTTGTCAGTCACCCAGTGTTGAACTTTCTATAATGTAGATATGTCCTTTTGAAGATAAAGTTTCTATTCCTAGATTCAGTAGCCTAAATGGGGGCACACTAATATATACATACAGTAAGCTAGACTGTAAGTTGGAAGTTTTTAATATCAACAGAAACTGTACAAAATAGTTTACTTTCATTTCGAAGTTGATCTTTCTCAATTTAATGAAAAGAAACACCAAGTCTTGAATAAATACTTTTTATATTTATTAGTTATACTTTCAGAACTTAAATTACAAAATAATAAAATTGTGCACTAATTAATGAAGTTATAATACACATTTAAAAATAAAATATATTGAACTTCATAAAATATAATAGTCCTATACTGATAATGACCTGAATAATGTAACAACAACAAAAATCACACATTATAGTTTGTTAATCGTATCTGCAACACATGTCGATTACAAAGATGCAGTACATATGTAGATGCCTCAATATTACCTATATCAAGCTTGATTTTGTAAGGCTGGCAGTACTCTTAGCTACTTAATTTAATCTTCATTAAGAGCTAAACTCACAGAAAAATATTGTAAACAATAATTACAAGCAATATATATATATATATATATATATATATATATATATATATATATATATATATATATATATATATATATATATATATATATATATATATATATATATATATATATATATATATATATATATATATATATATATATATATATATAATATATATAATCAAATAGCATATTAATTACTATAACATTTATCTTAGAAAAAAAATTGGGGAATGTGGAAAATTATTGCATACTTTATATGTAAGTGTGGAGGTCCCTTCTTGTGTTGAGAGTTGTTTATGAAGCGTTAAAACAGGTGATGAGGAAGGGTCATCATGGCTGCGGTGGTGGACCCCCTGCCAGGGCACGCCGGAGACGAGGCTACTTGAGGTGAGTGAAGGCGCGCTTCTTCTGGTTGGGATCCATGACGACGGAGAGGCACAAGGAGCCTTCCTTCCGTGTGTGTGTGAAGGGTGTGTCTGACCGCACCAACATGGACTCCTGAGGCCTCATCAGCACGGTGTCCTCCCCGATGGTGACCTCGCTCTCTCCTTCCTGTCATATCAACACTCTCATTTAATGATTTATTTGGCCGGGGACAGGCTGCCTGTGTATGTAAATACACAGGCAGTGTATGTAAATACACAGCCTATGTATTTACATGTATAATGATATAGTAAAATATATTTACATACACAGCCTGTGTATCTAAATAAATAGACTTCCTGTGTATATATAAATGTATATGAACACGTTGTCTGTGAATATGTATGTTCATACACGCCCGTGTATGTATATATGCCTGTGTATGTATATACACAGACCTTCCCCAGAATGCATCTCTACAACAATTGACCAACTCCCCCCGCCCCTGTATCTATTTACTGCTAGGTGAACAGAGGCATTAGGTGAAAGGAAACGTGCCCAGTCATTTCTGTCTCGCTCGGAACTCCAATTGTGAGTGGAGAACGAGCCCCGTTGCTCTCCCGAAACCCAAAAGATGTAACAGTATTTCGCGTCCTAACAATATATTATGTTCGCGGTATGCTTTCTTTATCTAAAATGTACAACATTTGAGATGAAACTGAAGTGCTAACTTAAAATTAAGACAAAATAACAATAAATTATTATTTCATATTTCATAAATAATTGTTAAGTATACAAATATGGGCCAAGAATGTTTATATAATACATGGTGCAATTGGTGGTGTGTATTATGGTGGCCAGTATAAGAATTGTTGATGGGAGTGGTGCAAGAAGACCCAGGAGGCCACCCACCCTCCCCCCAGCACAACAGATGGCGACCTCACCAGCTGCCAGAGCCAGGTCTCCACCCCCGCCAGGTGGTGATGGTGGGAGCCTCGCCCCAGTGCCACCACGTCACTCTGGTAGCTGAGGTCAAACAACCGCTTCTCACCCTCCTGATCCACCTGTGAGAGGTCAAGTACGAATTATCCCCAAAGTCAAAGTCATTTTGAATATGTTGAAATATTAACAAAGAATAGATAATGATATTTTAAAAGAACAAAATTAATATATATAGCAGTCTAAGAAACTACTATTAACAACTAGCAATATTCTCGAGGGAATCCTCTTTAACGTACATATAAATTTGGTGTTAGTTAATAATAATATATCTTACGAGTTTATTTCATCACAACTTTTTGCAGGCAAGTATTCAGTATATCTGCCAAGCTCGTGACATTGTAATTGCCAGAATTAGGCTGGGATATTGATATCTGTGGCAGATGGCTGCAGGTAATGAATCTCCCAATAGTGAACATTCCAACTGTAAACTATGTGAACAAGAGCTGGGACATACTCTCCAACACTATATCTGTGATTGCCCTGTTATAAGTGACTTCAGACCAAATAGCATGAGATACTTTGAGCTCTGTAATTACTTCATACACTCAAGAATATTGGAAGATATTCTTGTGCTGTACCCAGATTTTGCTAGTGGAGGCTAATACATTTCTTACATTTCCTTAGCAACTATCTTACAATCTCCTTAGAAATGTAAAGAGGTCTTACATTTCATGTTCTCTCGTGATTTTTTTGAGTCAGAGTTGATTTGTTTTTTAATTGAGGCTGGTATTTTCTCCCCTGATTCCATGTACAGATATTACTAACCATCCTGTGAGATGGGAATATTTGATGAACTTATGGCTAGTTTTTGATCAACACTGTGTAATCTTTCATATAGAATAGGGTAGCAGCACATTATTGTGTATACCTAAGCTTGGTAATATAAAAAAGAACTCCATCCATAGAAGCGACTCTATTTGTGCTTAAAATAATATTTTGGTGTTAAGTTCGGGGATATTGGCACTGACTGTATTCAAGGATGAATATGAGGAAATCCACAAGGGCCGTGATGAGGGTTCGAACCTATGCCCTGGATGATTCCAGACGCGCCTGAGTGGACTATGCCACAACATGGTTAAAAGAATTGCAACCTGGAGTGCTATACTGCCCTCACAAGGATCATCCCGGGCGTAGGTTCGAACCCTCATATCATGGTCCTTGTGGATTTGTTAATTTGATGCTTCACGCCATTTTGATTTCTATGTGTAAGGATGAATATGTTTGGGGAGGGGGGGAACTGAGTATGAACAGTTGAACATATATTGAGGAAAGGGTAACTGGTTTTGAACATGGAAAATATGTTGGTGTAAGTGCGGGGAACTCTGTATGAACAGGGGACGACGGGCAGGGAATAAACACACCTCGGCACGATGTTTGTTGAGCCACTTAGCGAGCGAGAATGGCTCCTCCACGATCCTGAGGGCGTCGGGGACCCATGGTGGGTTCTCGGAGATGGTTCCTGTGCAGGGAGAGATGTTATGGGTGTTTAGGAACGTGTCGATATGACAACAATGTGTTGCTCCCACACTCAGCAGATTAGGCTAACAAATGAGAACCATATTGTACCAGACTCTGCCTGGGTTTCTTCCCGCCCTCATTCCCTCTTCCTGCCCTTGTCCCTCTTCTCTTCCATCCCTCTTCCCCCTATTTCCTTCCCCTTTTACCACCCCACTTTCAGAAAATATATTACAAAACACTTAACTATTTACGGGCTCAACATAGCCCGTGCTACATGGACATTTTGTCCCGAGTAGCTAAATCTAAAACAAAAACTAACTGAAAGTAATTAACTGTGAGAAACAAATAATATTTCAGACTTGACGTCATGAAAATCACGTGGGGGAGGTCTCTATAAATGCCGATATTTCTTAAAGCATTTCACTTGGGCCGACACCGACTGGCCTATGACATTCCCCTACCCAACATGATTCATATTGGAAGCTGGGTGAGGCTAGCCCGAACCATCTGGCCTCGAACCTCGGAAGAAAAGATAGGCATTTTATTTTATACTAGGAGGGGTTCCCGGCACCTCATCCACAGCTTCAATTGTAGATATAATAGAGCCCAATAGGCTCAGGAATTTGTGCATGAGTTTATTGGAAGTTGCAAGAGATAAACCAAAGAGCTTAATCTCAATTCCCGCAATCACAATTAGGTAAACACACACGCACACACACACACACACACACACACACACACACACACACACACACACACACACACACACACACACACACACACACACACACACACACACACACACACACACACTGACCAGGGACGGGTTTTCCAGTTTTGTATTGTTGGGACATGAAGAACTCCTTGATGACGGGCTGGAGCTGGACAGCCAGGTCGCTGCAGTAGAACCACTTCTCAAACAACGTCTCCGTCGTTCCCTCCACGTAATACCTGGTCACCACGTCCAGGTGAGACAATGAATTAACAGGGTAGAAAAGGGCGGGGTTTTGACATAAATGGTACACAAAATAGAGGACACAGGCGAAAAAGTATAGGCAGAAGCTCTATACACTCAGCTATGAGTAGTCTTAATTGGGAAAGATTCCAGCAGCAGCTACTGCTGCTATGCAATAGTTTCCTTATTAATCCTTCCTTATTAAGACTACTTATAGCTGAGTGGATAGAGCTTCGGCCTTACGCGTGGAGTCAGTGGTTCGAGTCTCCTAGAGCCCAGGCGAATGAAATTTTTATTTCCAAGGAAGTGTAGATGACAATTGTTATTTACAGCGAATATTGGCAGTGTCACATTAGCAGATGGAAGGAATGAGAAGTGACGTGTGGAGTCAGACGCCTTAATTACACAGCTTCCCATGTTGACCGATGTAGCCTAAAGAGTTCGTGAACCTGAATGTACACTTGCCAAGTACCTTACGCAATCTGTTTTGCTGTCGATGTGCACGGGTGGTGGCGGCATATATTTATTTTATTTTATTTTTATTTATTTATGTATACAAGAGTTCTTACATTCTTGTACAACCACTAGTACGCGTAGCGGTTTTGGGCAGTTTCGTTTATTTGAGGTTTATGCTTTAGTGCGTACGGGAGAACAAATGTTGTAACGCGTATATGGAGGCTATAGCCGGTCCACACACAGCTTTCTACTGCTGGGTTACCAGGGACACGGGGACGGGTTCCTTGCCCTCTCACCATACTTGTCAGTCCATCCCGGATGTCAAGGTCGCGTGACGGCGGCCACTAACCAGTCAGTCATTAAGAAGGGGGTAGAAATAGCCTAAGCTACTCTATCCCTTTGAGATGTATTTCTTGTCTCAATAAACATACTTGAACCAGTCATTATTATTATTATTAACATCTTTATTGACCAAATTAATTACAATTTTGCCTAATCTGCGTAATTCAATTAGGTCTTATGTTAGTGAGGATGATGCTGGAATTCACTGTCACACAGGACAGAGGCTAGGTAAACTGAACCATTAGGTGAAAGGAAGCGTGCTGGACGATTTCTGTTTCTTCCAGGAATCAAACCCGGGATTCCTGATTGTGAGTAAAGAACGAAGTCAACTGTAGCGAGGTGTGTGCTAGGGCAGTGTTAGCAAACAATACTGATGATATAAAGTAGATGTTGTTGTTAAAGATTCGCTACCTGGAACAAAAAGTTCCAAGTAGCACGGGCTATAGTGAGCCCGTAGTCCCTCACGAAGGAGTGGTGGCGCCAACCTATGTACGGCTGTAAGACAATAATGTCGTATGAACGGGAAACGCCAGAATTAAACATTGGAAAGATACAACTTGAGAAGCATGTGTGGTGTTATGAAAATACAGAACACAAGATATAAATGTCACGGAGATATGAGTATAGATAGGCCTAGGGTAGGTTAGGTTAGATGGTTTGGTACTGTTGGCAATTTTGTGTATGTAGAGTACGTGATTGAAATTTGTAGAGAGGTGCGATTCGAACATAAGAAACGAGATAGAGGAAAAAATTCGAACTTAATATGTTATCAGTCATTTGTAAAACTAGTATTTAATTTAAAATTGCAGAACTGTTACCGAGTTAAGGAACATTTGGTCAATATTTTATGGACGGGTGTAATATGGACTATTCTAGTCAGCGGCAATCCGTATTTTGTCCATATGACATTGAATCAAACAGTATCGTATGGACAAAATACACTGATTCGAACAGTGTCATATGGACAAAATACACTGATTCGAAGTGTCATATGGACAAAATACACTGATTCGAAGTGTCATATGGGCAAAATCACTGATTCGAACAGTGTCATATGGACAAAATACACTGATTCGAACAGTGTCATATGGACAAAATACACTGATTCGAACAGTGTCATATGGACAAAATACACTGATTCGAACAGTGTCATGTGGACAAAATACACTGATTCGAACAGTGTCATATGGACAAAATACACTGATTCGAACAGTGTCATATGGACAGAATACACTGATTCGAACAGTGTCATATGGACAAAATACACTGATTCGAACAGTGTCATATGGACAAAATACACTGATTCGAACAGTGTCATATGGGCAAAATCACTGATTCGAACAGTGTCATATGGACAAAATACACTGATTCGAACAGTGTCATATGGACAAAATACACTGATTCGAACAGTGTCATATGGACAAAATACACTGATTCGAACAGTGTCATGTGGACAAAATACACTGATTCGAACAGTGTCATATGGACAAAATACACTGATTCGAACAGTGTCATATGGACAGAATACACTGATTCGAACAGTGTCATATGGACAAAATACACTGATTCGAACAGTGTCATATGGACAAAATACACTGATTCGAACAGTGTCATAAGGACAAAATACACTGATTCGAACAGTGTCATATGGACAAAATACACTGATTCGAACAGTGTCATATGGACAAAATACACTGATTCGAACAGTGTCATATGGACAAAATACACTGATTCGAACAATATCATATGGACAAAATACACTGATTCGAACAGTGTCATATGGACAAAATACACTGATTCGAACAGTATCATATGGACAAAATACACTGATTCGAACAGTATCATATGGACAAAATACACTGATTCGAACAGTGTCATATGGACAAAACACACTGATTCGAAACTCGCTTCATTCACTTTCAACCATTATTGTATATACTCCACAAATCACCATAAAAAAACGGCTTACTTAACGTTACCGATATATAACAATATTAGTTTAAATTTGAGAAAATAGACTTATATGAAAATCTCATTGTCAGTTGATAAATGTATTAGTGAAATACTGATTTGCCACCGTGGGCGATAGCAAGCACTAGGGAGAATACCTGAGACAGGCTAGGGAGAATACCCGAGGACGGGCTAGGGAGAATACCCGAGGACGGGCTAGGGAGAATACCCGAGGACGGGCTAGGGAGAATACCTGAGACGGGCTAGGGAGAATACCCGAGGACGGTCTAGGGAGAATCCCCGAGGACGGGCTAGGGAGAATACCTGAGGACGGGCTAGGGAGAATACCTGAGGACGGGCTAGGGAGAATACCTGAGGACGGGCTATGGAGAATACCCGAGGACGGGCTAGGGAGAATACCCGAGGACGGGCTAGGGAGAATACCCGAGGACGGGCTAGGGAGAATACCTGAGGACGGGCTAGGGAGAATACCCGAGGACGGGCTAGGGAGAATACCCGAGGACGGGCTAGGGAGAATACCTGAGGACGGGCTAGGGAGAATACCTGAGGACGAGCTAGGGGAGAATACCTGAGACAGTCGAGTTCGGACTTGACTCTCTCCCGCTCGACGACGAGACCCACTGTGTCAGAGAACCGCTGGGGCGAGTGTGGCACCTTCCCCGGCAACTGGAACACCTGTAAGGCAACATCCAACTTCATACCTGACTAAAACATGCGGGAAACACATCTGACTTGTAGGAAAGGTGGTGCACACTAGAGTTAACCTTTCGGGTTTACACCATAACACCTCTGTAAACCTGTCCTCTTAAACAGTACATCGTATTTTTGGCGTATAAATCCCCAACGGATAAAATATGATGCACTATAAATTACAGCAGCTCGCAAAGTTGACGTTCTGTCACCTTTCCTATTCGTGGGACCTCGACTCTTAAGTAAAAATTATAGACATTTGATGTTAAAATTCTACCTTCTTAGATAAGGGAATGAAAACAGTTGTATACGTGTATCGGAGCTGTCTGGGTTATATTTAGGGTTTCATGCATGCATTCGTGGAGGTGAGAATATAGCGCTCTCTGTGTGAAGCCTCGCTTAGTGCTGGAACTCGCCATCTGCGTGACGCCTCGCTCAGAGTGCTGGAACTCGCCCTCTGCGTGACGCCTCGCTCAGAGTGCTGGAACCCGCCATCTGCGTGAAGCCTCGCTCAGAGTGCTGGAACCCGCCCTCTGCGTGAAGCCTCGCTCAGAGTGCTGGAACTCGCCCTCTGCGTGAAGCCTCGCTCAGAGTGCTGGAACTCGCCCTCTGCGTGAAGCCTCGCTCAGAGTGCTGGAACTCGCCCTCTGCGTGACGCCTCGCTCAGAGTGCTGGAACTCGCCCTCTGCGTGAAGCCTCGCTCAGAGTGCTGGAACTCACTCACCTCGCCCTCCTTGATGATCACGTCTTTGAAAGCACCATTCTGTAGGGTGATGAGATTCATATCACCCTTCACCATGTAGAAGAACTCTTCACCTTCCTCGATGTGGAAGTCCTTCCGCTGATTGGGGCCGCCCACATAGAACACCTTAAGCTGCCCATCCCCGTGCCTGCCAAGCAGAGAAGGTAACACATGACTGAAGGCAATATATGACTGAAAGAAACGGCAAAATAACTGAAAGAAGCGGCTAAATAACTGAAAGAAACGGCTAAATAATTGAAAGAAACGGCAAAACAACTGAAAAACGCCAATATAAATGAAAGAAACGGCTTCAAGCTCAAGAAGCCACAACGTAGGACAAAAAACGAGATTCTTTTTCGCTCACAGGCTTATGAACCCATGGAACCACTTACTCGTCGCAACCATAAATGACAAAACATTGCAGCAGTTCAGAATCTAACGGGATAAAATCACCAGGGGAAAATGTGTGTGTGCGGGGGGGGGGGGGGGGATTTGACAAGCCGCCGGCTTGTCAAATCTGTCTCCGTCGAGGCCCCTGGAGATATAGTGCCCTCAGGTAAGCTCAGGTTTATGGGCAACCTCCCCCACGTCCTGCCCCCGAAACATGCAGCACTGCCGTCAAGTTGTACCCAAACTGCAGCCTAGCTGTAGTCAAGCTGTAGCCAGGACATTGTCAGGCTGTAGCCAGGACATTGTCAGGCTGTAGCCAAGCTGTACCCAAATTATTCTCAACCAACGATTGAAGTGTGTGATATATATAACCAACGATATATATATATATATATATATATATATATATATATATATATATATATATATATATATATATATATATATATATATATATACCCACCACCGTGCTGCGTGAATCAATCTTTAAAGAGGAAATAATTGCACCAGTGGTGGTACCCCCCTATATATATATATATATATATATATATATATATATATATATATATATATATATATATATATATATATATACATATATGTGTGTGTGTGTGTGTGTGTGTGTGTGTGTGTGTGTGTGTGTGTGTGTGTGTGTGTGTGTGTGTGTGTGTGTGTGGGGTTGCACTTGCTTCATGTCAATATCTTGTTTATGAATAAGTGCATATGTGACATACTAATTTAATGTGAATATTTGAGTTTACCTTGAAATGCTGAATAGAAAACCACAACCTAACCTTCTTAGTATGTTAAGATATTACAATTAGTACTGAACCTATACCTATATTGATATTACAGTTTTATAAAAATAATAAAACAAAACTAAAATATTTAAATAAATTGTAAAGTAACTCAGGATATTGTCAAATTTTGTATAAAATTTCTATTGTTTAATAAAACTGAGAGGAAAAGTTAGTATGTCACATATGTGCTTATTTATAAGTGAAATAGTGACTATAAGCAATAAATCATATATGTGCTGTCTTGTGCGAGAGCGGGTTGCAACGTGTGTATTCACCTAGTTGTGCTTGCGGGGGTTGAGCTCTGCTCTTTCGGCCCGCCTCGCAACTGTTTCTACTACTTTTTTTTTCTCCACACCACACACACAAACACACGTGTGTGTAAATCACGAAAATTAACTAGTGATGAAAAATGTGACAGTGTCAGACCACGAAGGACTGAAACAGGAATTTCCTTAAGTACCTTCGTGTTTAATAATGCGAAAATTTCAAATAAGGATAACTGTAAGAAACAAAAATACTGGATAATATATATAAATGCCGCCGGATGGAAATTAATACACACACACAAAAATATACGTGTGTGTGTGTGTGTGTAATTTGATATTTATGAATTGTACAAAGTTATAAGGCCTCTAACTTAATCTGATTGAGAAAACAAAAGATACTATCGACTAACCAACATTTTTCATGATAAAGTTTCTTCATAGCTGTAAAGCACATTTCAGGAACAAAAGACTTCAACAAAACAGCCTATTGGCTCATACGAGGCCGCTTCTGTATACATAACCCATTAGCCTTACCAATTAGTGCGTTGCTGAGAAGCGCTCCATCACCTCGGAAACAACGCATGCAACCCACTCTCTTGTTATTAGTATATCGCTATCTCTGAGGCTCGGGGGGGGGGGGGCTGTTGTTGGTAGATACCGATATGCGCTATCAGTGTATATTCGTATATACTGCCAATAGACACTGTGCATTGCGTCATCGATAGATAAGAAGCAGGCACTCTCAATTGGCTGTTAGTCTGGGAAGACGTGATAGGAATCTCGGCAAAAGAGCTACGCTGCATCACAAATGTGTTTACCCACCTTCCTGAACACGGCCTGGAGGCGGCAACACAGTGTTTCGACAACAGCAAGACGTGTGTGTGTGTACATTATACTCGAAAGCAAAAGCTGTTATCTATAGACTATTTTGTCTTCCAATTAACGCTGGGGGATAAGAAAGAACATTTCCTCGTCTCATTCATGACATGACTAGCCTCATCTTGCTGTGACATTTAGCAGCCTCTAATTTCACTCATGACATGAGCAGGCTCTCATCACACGAGACCTTCCTGGTTCTGTGCTGACCCTCCTTCCCACCCTCCCCTCCCCCTCCCCCCTCTCACCATCTCATGGCCTCAACAAAGCATCCTCACTATCAACAATCTGCGAACATTCTTCCTATTTGGCTCTTTTGTGCTGTGTCTTTGTGTCAGCTCGTTCAGCGCATCTCCCTCTTATCTGCAGTCCTTTTCTTTCCCGCTAACCATTTTAATGGGCTTGTAAATAATAGAGGGGGGGGGGGACAATTGAGAACGTGCCGGGTTCCTCTCCCCGTCAAGGTCACTATTGATGGTGACCCTCGGGTAAATTTATGTATGTCCTTTATCATATATATTCTTTTTTGTATACTTGGAGTGACTTGAGTGGTCGACAATCACTGCAAATGAGGTTATTGAGATCCACTTTAGCCAGGGAAGGAGGACCTTCACACGCGGGCACTCGTCCAGGGCTAGTAGCCTCGTCCTGTGCTAGTAGCCTCGTCCAGGGCTAGTAGCCTCGTCCAGGGCTAGTAGCCTCGTCCAGTGTTAGTAGCCTCGTCCTGTGGTAGTAGCCTCGTCCTGTGCTAGTAGCCTCGTCCTGTGCTAGTAGCCTCGACCAGGGCTAGTAGCCTCGTCCTGTGCTAGTCCTGGAGACACACACCTGTCAATAGAGCAGCCTGTCCTCCTGGAGACACACACACACACGCACACACAACTGACACTTCGCAACACCTGCTGAAGTACATGTGACCAATTCTAAACTGAGAGTAGGCCTACTCACATACCATCACCATGTATATGAACGTCAAAATGTAGCAGAATTTGGAGACAGTTTTTATCACAAGTGTTCAATAAATGTGTGAGTACTTCATTCTTAGCCAAACATCTTGAGTCCACTATCTATCGTTAGCGAGTGCGAGTAACTGAACCTTCACTACCGCACCCTGAGCGGGCGTGCGGCGCATGGTAAGCAAAGCTAATCATGTGTAACTAGCTCACCGCATATATCAATTGCTTAGCTTAGAGAATGTTGCAGTCCAGTTCTTGAACCCATTGTTGACATACACATTAAGCTGCGAAACTAGCTTATCAAAACTGTAACTTTCCCAGTCAAATTTATTTTGGGGTTCAGTTCCTGAGCCCGTTATGTGCCTCTGTAACCTTCTCCACTACTCATCCACAGGATGGGTATGGGGGTCCACTACCATCTACAGGATGGGTATGGGGGTCCACTACCATCTACAGGATGGGTATGGGGGTCCACTACCATCTACAGGATGGGTATGGGGGTCCACTACCATCCACAGGATGGGTATGGGGGTCCACTACCATCCATAGGATGGGTATGGGGGTCCACTACTACCCACAGGATGGGTATGGGGTCCACTACCATCTACAGGATGGGTATGGGGTCCACTACCACCCACAGGATGGGTATAGGGGTCCACTACCATCCACAGGATGGGTCCACTACCATCCACAGGATGGGTATTGGGGGTCCACTACCATCCACAGGATGGGTATGGGGGTCCACTACCACATCCACAGGATGGGTATGGGTATGGGTATGGGGGTCCACTACCACCCACAGGATGGATATGGGGTCCACTAGCACCCACAAGATGGATATGGGGTCCACTACCACCCACAGGATGGCTATAGGGTCCACTACCATCCACTGGATGGATATGGGGTCCACTACCACCCACAGGATGGGTATGGGGTCCACTACCACCCACAGGATGGGTATAGGGTCCACTACCACCCACAGGATGGGTATGGGGTCCACTACCACCCACAGGATGGGTATGGGTCCACTACCACCCACAGGATGGGTATGAGGGTCCACTACCATCCACAGGATGGGTATGGGGGTCCACTACCACCCACAGGATGTGTATGAGGGTCCACTACCATCCACAGGATGGGTATGAGGGTCCACTACCATCCACAGGATGGGTATGGGGGGTCCACTACCACCCACAGGATGTGTATGGGGTCCACTACCACCCACAGGATGGGTATGGGTGCATAATTAATGAACAAAACTAGCGCATTAAAACATTCATAACATTACTGCGAATGAGTGTTGTGAATATGCCAGAGACCATATCACGTTGCAGACTCACATCATCTTGTTGCAGACTGGCGGTAGGAAGAACTTCTTGTTTTCCTCTATCCATGTAGGGATAGCGTGGATGAGGTGTGGAACGGGCGCCATTACTGCTACGCCACCACAGTACCCATACACCAGGCCAGAGGGAAGTAGAAATCCTAATTAATAACTCGTCATAGAAATATTGGCTTTCATAGCAAGTCAATACCAAAAATCCTCCTTGGCTGTCGACGGAACTTTTTAACAAGGAGGAATATGTGAGCAAGATTGCGTTCTCTGTGTTTACATGATGCGTAGTGGTACCTGAAGTGGAGATTGAAGATAGCGATGATAAGATGTTCTCGCTGCGGTGTCCAGCCACCTACTGAGCCTCCTACTGACACTCTTCTGGCTCTCTCCTCCTCCAGTTCATAGCACATAGACACAGACTGTTTGGGACGACATGAATTCCCTCACGTATAAAATCTATTTTACATCTCTATCTCCTGTCCCCCACCCCTCAAAAAAGTACATTTTTTTGTTGTAGAGATAATGTATAGAATGTAGAGTGCTTATAAGCACTGGTAAGGTTCCCTGGTCTAGAGGAGACGAGATAACTGTTAGGAGACATCTTCGGCGCATATATTGCTATGAAGGTCAGGCGACCATATTGTCCCTGAGAGCCAGGTGGTGCGTTGGTCTGTGGCGAGATCTGTAGTGCGATGGTCTGTGGCGTGATCTGTGGTGCGTTGGTCTGTGCTGCTTTGGTCTGTGGCGTGATCTGTGGTGCGTTGGTCTGTGGTGCGTTGGTCTGTGGTGCGTTGGTCTGTGGTGCGTTGGTCTGTGGTGTGTTGGTCTGTGGTGCGTTGGTCTGTGGCTCATTAATCTGTGGTATGTTTATCCATGTCCTGTGACGACTCATCAGAGCTTCCAGCCATGTCGTTTCGTTCAGTTTTTTGTCACAAATGCTAAACAGTCTATCTCTACCCAGTTAGTTAATATCCTTGAATATCTTGCATATTGTGATCAGGTCTCCTACTGTTTTGTCTATCTTATTGTTGTTATTATTAGTGTCAGTAAAGTAAAATAATTATCATCATTTAGGTAAGTTAGTTACCATCCAAGAATAGGTAATTATTATGAAAAAGTGTTAAATACGTTGTAAAAAGATACTAAGAGCCATATAGACAAACTAGCTAGCACAATGAAGAATTAATGAGTGCCCAACCGTTTTACCCTCCCTGTCTTAGGAGTCGAACCCAGGCGCTAAGTGATGAGCTCTAGCCTTGCCACTGCACCACCAGGGTCTCCTAGCACCATCGTCATTAGTTTCACAAAAATTTAGACTAATACTAATTACATGGTCCGAAACTGGAATCTGACTTAGAGGGGTTCAATAAGACAAGAGTACATAAACATATATTGTATTTATATATATATATCCGTATGTATACATATTATTACATAAACAAGAGCAATACGCCCACAAAGAAAACATGAAGGTAGGGACAACTAGTGCAATTGTCGAACAACGCCAGCATGAGCCGCCTTTGTGACAGAAGTCACAAGGCAGGGTTGGGTAGGGATGGTCAAGTTCAAGTATGTTTATTGAGATAAGCAATAAATACATCTCAAAGGGATAGAGTAACTTAGGCTATTTCTACCCCCCTTTTGGGATGATCAAGAGACGGGGGTAGGATAGTGAAGGTCAGGACAGGGCGCGGTTGAGTAGGGCAAGAAAAGACAGAACCGGGCAGGGTTGGGCAGGGCAGGACAGGAGAGAACAGGACAAAGCAGGAGAGAACAGGACAAGGCAGGAGAGGACAGGGCAGGGCAGAGCAGGATAAGGCAAGACAGAGCAGGACAAGGCAGGACAGGGCAGAGCAGGATAAGGTAGGACAGGGCAGAGCAGGATAAGGCAGGGCAGAGCAGGATAAGGCAGGACAGGGCAGAGTAGGGCCGGGCTGGCAGTGGTTTCAGCCAGGATTCCCAGCCCGGCACCGCTCATGCGAAGTCTTTCTTAACACTGCTTTAGCTGTCAGTCATCCAGCCAGAGGTGGCGCCGAGGCACGTCTTGTTCTGCCTAACGATAATCAACTTTCTAGTTTTGTTCTACTCAAAATTCAAGCTAGCTAACCTTTACCAAAAATTGTGTGTAGGCACGAAACGTTTACTTTCTTGTCTGCAAAGCTTGCGTGTGATCGATGAAGCAGACCTTATTAACACACAGCAACAACTCTTTATTTTAATATAATCTATAAGACACATATTTCCATTTTTCTGAAGCGTACACAATGGATAGTAAGTTTGTTGACTAATATATATATATATATATATATATATATATATATATATATATATATATATATATATATATATATATATATATATATATATATTCTATATTAATACAGTACTGTATGATATAACATTGCAGTTATAGCAATGATATCTAAATGGTTTTTCAATCAACTTCCAGACATTTTATTGTTATATCTTTCAGTAACATAGTTACATGTCATGACATTAAATATATAAATGGGCTAGCATAACGTTGACTGCATGTGTAACGACACGCTGGCGGCCCCCCCTGAATGGGGGGTCCCTAGGCTTGATGTTTCCAAGATGGGTGCCCGGGCTGACGGTCCTCAGCATGGGCTCCCCCAGGCTAAAGGATCCCAGGATGGGGTTCCTAGGCTGCAGGTTCCCAGGCTCTGGAGCCCAGGCTGTAGGTTCCCAGGCTCTGGAGCCCAGGATGTAGGTTCCCAGGCTCTGGAGCCCAGGCTGATGAGCAGCAACGCACACCAAGATACCGTCACCAAATGCGATAATATTATATCTACACCAGCCAGGTGGGACCCGAGGTCCTCTACCTTATGGGGGTAGCGAGCCTCACAGACCAAGAGGGATACGGAACTCTGTGGCGTAGTGGGCCTCACAACCCAAGGGGACCTCGGGGTGCAGCTCACAAATGCAGTACATTTAATTTATATTACGATTTTGCCAGAACTGTAGGAAGATAAGTGTTACTAATACAGAAATATTGGTTAATAATTCCCTACAAATGTATAAACACTAAACACCTAATACATTTTAAAATGAAAATATAGCAATTGTCTCCGGAAATTTGAACATCCATAAAAATACACGTATGTATACACATGATCTTGCAGTTATAAATTACACGTACACATATGAACTTGCAGTTATAAATTACACATACACATATAACCTTGCAGTTATAAACTACACGTACACATATGACTAACAGCTACCGCGGTTAAAGGCAGGTTCCGGTGGTCAAAAGTATCCTTACACTAATACTCTCACATAATATGGTGTATGTTAGCCAGGTGTGGCGGTGGGAGACTAGGCTAGTGACGGCGGTGACGTACTGTGGCAGGGTGTACTAATCTTAACCGCTAGGCTGCGCCATTCTTTCCATACCATCACGCCTCAAACCAATTTGTTTAAATGTTCGAGAATTATTTATTTTCTGAGTTTGTTCGTTGCAAATTGGAGTTAATAATATGGAAACGACAAAAACCAATATATGAAATGAATTTCATTACACTGCCTAGAAAATACTGAATTTTATACTAAATTAATTCTGATATTGATCTCAGTGTTAGAAATTTGCATACAAAATTACTCCCTTTTGTCATGTTTTCTTAATCTCTTGGAAATTAGAGAAAGAAATACTTAGGGTAAATGAAATGGTGCTTTGCTGCATTTTCCAGTCCTCGTGAAGATATATATTCTATGTACACCATTTGGTTTATCCCTCTTCTGGGTATATATATATGCTGAAAGTTTACTTTAGTGGTCAATTATGTTCAGGAATGAAGTATACTTGCTGGTAGATCAGTAAGTTATTGTGGTGGCCTTTATTATCCTCCGGAGCTTTATATCAACACCAAGCCAGTTCTCTGTAATTCGACAGCTGTACACTTGTTACACACGCTGCTCTCCTGATGTAATGACTTAGATTTGTATGATTACGTGTCTCCATTACAATTATAGAAACATTATTGTTGGCAGTTGTTTTTTAAATTGTCACGCCAGTGTTAATGAGGATGTTTTTCGCGAGAATGACTTTACTCTATGGAGACAAAAACAATGCTTACGTGCCGTTAAGAAAGACCATTTAATTAGGTCAAGTCGACCAATCACAACCGTGAATACCGTAAGCGAGGTGACGACACAACAGTAGGGAGACTGTGATAGGTCGGAATCCAGCAGGAGTCGAGTTTGTAAACGAAAAAGACCCATTAAGACCATCACTATAGTTAGTACGGTCTTGAGGATGATTGTAAACCACCAAGGACACTCAAATAAAGTTAATGGTTTGCTAGAGCGATTATTTAAGTGTCCTTTTGCTATCTGGGACTGTTGAGAGCCATCGTCAGGTCTGCAGTAGTTAAGTCGCATACTGAGAAGAAGAAGAATAAATTGATATTAAGACCGCGGAACGACGTGGTTGGTGGCTTTGGACCTTCGTAATAGTGACCTGGTGCTGAGGGACATATAACTTGTTGTTACTGAGGTAACAGGAGTGGGAGTTGTTGTAGGTGCGTGAATCTGTATGCTTCAGAAAGGCGTTATGAATCACCGCAGCGCGGTAATTGAGGAAATTTTTTCTTCAAGTGAACCAAAGAACTGGTGGTGAACGAGGAGTAAGTGCCTCAGAATTATTTGTGAACATATAGATAGTGAGCTTACGAACGTTTTCCTGTGATGTAAATAACAATGGATAGCTGTGGTGTTAATATCTATGGGAGCCTGGCAAGGGGGATAATGAACATTTATTTGTATGTGATGTAAATAATTATGAGTGCATGCAAACATTGCTTGGTGTAAACACTTGGTGTGCAGCACGTCTAGAGACGCGGGATGATGAACTGTAACCGACTCGGTGACATACCACAAAGAAGCCTAGTAAAAAGACATTGTGATCACATCTCACTTTAATTGAAATATTGTCTAGCACTACACAACTCAAATTTGCAGTACACTAATGAGAAATCTTTGTAGCCGTGGAAAATTACCTACAGTTTTGAGAAATTAATTACGACGACAAACTATAACAGAAATTTCTTCGGGATGGGCATGGTGGTGGTGTCCGTTAAAGTCGACCAATTCTCTGAGGCCAGGAGACAACAACTGTTCTCCAATATCAACGAGGATTTTTCGTTGATTGTTAGAAAGAACTCGTGTATTGAGGCAAGAGTTGGGAAAACTATTCACGTTCATTAAACAGTGAAGTTGTTATCTTAATATCCTTCAAATTCTAACACTTTAGGAGTCTTTCTCTTAACGCCTAATATTGCCATCTCCTGCCCAGCGGTGTGACCGACCCTGCACCGCCTCTTTTATTTTTTCATGGTAGAATGCAAAGCTAGTTAGTGACGTGAACAAATTATTTTAAAAGAATAGAACATTCAGTGTGGTCTTTTCGGCTCCGTATATAGAAATCTAGTCTGTTCTATGAGAACAGATTAGTTATAAATGTTTCTTTAGCAAACAATAGCACCACCTAGGGGAAATACAGGCCTACTGTATAAATGAATAACACATTCACATGCACCAACGCTAATTCAAAATAACAGTGGTACGAAGTACAGTCTTTCCAAGAATGGGTCGAAACAATCCAGCCATTAACACCTATGTTTCACAGCCATACATGGTGGTTAATGGTTTCGTAATTCGTGTCACATCACAAATTCAGTGTTGCCAACAACAGGTGAGAATTATATGATGCCCAATAAATTTGACTTTGCATTCAAACCCTTTAGGCATCAATCATAATAATTTCATAAATTCATTGCGTTAAACAATTGCATTTTTTCACAACTGTTGTATGTGTAAATGCTTAAAGACCCGGTAGTCTGAATGGCTGTTACTAGTTGAAAGTCAAGCAAGCGGCAACTACAGGGAGGCTAATTACATTGAAGGATATGGCTAGGTATGGATGGTACTTTATAATGTGTTATTTGTTGCGGTAGTCATTAGGTAAGGTTGTGGTAGTCATTAGGTAAGGTTGTGGTACTCATTAGGTAAGGTTGTGGTAGTCATTACGTAAGGTTATATCCGTCATTTTTAGGTTACCGTGTCTATAAGCTTTTGCCGTAAAGGCTACAAAGATATAAGGGAAAGTAACCCATTCAGATGTTCATATTTTATACATTTTCTGTAATGTTGGAGTAGTGAAGGGTGTAGCATCCCGTGAAGGGTAACACGGCTGAACTGTGTCGTACACGGCTGGTGATGTAAAGCTTGCAAAACACTTATTGTCTTAAAATGATATCTATATGGCAAAGTTTAAGCCTCGTAATATTTTCTAGTCAGTAATAACACTAGCGGCAATGGCACGAAGGTACATTAGTCCCCCCCAGACGTAGGCATCAGGTGAAGGTGTGGATGATATTGTGCGTTGGGCGCTGGTGACGCTACGATCCCACGAGATCTGCCTGGCGGACGGCACAGATGGACCCCCTGGCCAGGCAGGCACTGGCACTTTTAAAAGGCTTTTGCAGGTGAGTGAGAGGGAGCCAGTAGAGAGCGGAAGAGAACCAGCAGACCTAAGTGAGAGTGTGCCACTGCTTGACGTGCTGACGACTCTTAGAGAGCATGAGGTTCCAGTGCTCGAGAGCCCTGCCCCTGGAGAACATGAAGGAGCCCAGCTGCACGCGGCCCACCACGTTATCTGTCAACACAAAATGTTCCCTCATGACTCCCACACGAACTCTTTGTTTACATAACAGCCATCCCTGTAAACTTTGTTTACATAATATATCTACACTAACGAAAGAATTAGTTAATTGTTATAAACTATGTAAAGTGTTGACCAGACCACACACTAGAAGGTGAAGGGACGACGACGTTTCGGTCCGTCCTGGACCATTCTCAAGTCGATTGTGAGAATGATTGATTCTCAATCACAATCAACTTGATTGGGATTGTGATTGTGATGATTGAATCACAATCGACTTGAGAATGGTCCAGGACGGACCGAAACGTCGTCGGCCCTTCACCTTCTAGTGTGTGGTCTGGTCAACATACTGTAGCCACATTATTGTCACTCATCGCTTGCATATGTAAAGTGGTAGATATTTACTTTGTGTAACAGTTAGAAACGTGTAAGTGATTATAACTGACAAGAAACAGAGATTATTATATTCAGCTTACACGCACACACACACACACACACACACAGTACACGATCACACACACAACAAAGTCAATTCTAACATGTCCTTTTATTACACGAAGTCCTTCATAACTAAGAGAAAAGCAACTTGAGCAGATCCTGCTACACTGGGGAGCTGGGTGAGGGCTCACCTGCCTTCCTGCCCACGGTGATGATCACGCTAACAGCTGTGGTGTCTAGGGCGTCCGGGGCCACCTTGAAGTGGAAACTCTCATTGAAGGAAGGCGAATCGGAGCTCTTCACAACCCCGGTCTTCTTGCTCTTGGTTATCTATGCACGTACAAGAGTACACGTCACTGTTTACATATCTCTATGTTTATGTGCATGTACAAGAGTACAGATCAAAGCTACAGGTGCCTACGTCTGTGTATTTACAAAAGTACAAAAAGTACAGGTCACTACTACAGCTATAGAGGAGTACAGATCACTGCTACAGCTATACACGTTTGTGTATTTACAAGAGTACAAGTCACTGCTACAACAGTCTAATATGATGTAATGAGCTAGAATACAGGTCACTGCTACACCTACTTCCCTTCAATCACACTTGTGTCTGCTGCATGATTGGTCGATCTAGCTGTATAATTGTTATATGGGCCTGGAACTAATCTTTTTCTGCATGTTGAAAATGCAAGATAGATACTCACCTTTGTCTGCTGCATGAGGGCTATTCGAGCTTGAAACTCATTCTTCTCCTGTTGTAGCTCCTTGTCGACCTGAAATGAGGTTTCAGGTAAGTTGGAACTTACAGAAATGTGTGAGTAGCCGGAAACTCTTCTCGGACATATTTCATTCAGTGCCTTGTTAGGGTTTATAGAGTTTGATGTCTTTGATATATAAATTCATGTTAATGAACTAAATTGTACGTTGGGGCTCAAGTACACAGTTGCAATTCCAACCCAGCTTTATCTACTATAGTCTACGTAAGTAAATCAATCTAAGTAGATAGAAAATGTATCTAGTTAATTACAACCTAAGGGGAGCCGGTCGGCTGAGCGGACAGCACGCTGGACTTGTGATCCTGTGGTCCCGAGTTCGATCCCGGGCGCCGGCGAGAAGCAATGGGCAGAGTTTCTTTCACCCTATGCCCCCTGTTACCTAGCAGTAAAATAGGTACCTGGGTGTTAGTCAGCTGTCACGGGCTGCTTCCTGGGGGTGGAGGCCTGGTCGAGGACCGGGCCGCGGGGACACTAAAGCCCCGAAATCATCTCAAGATAACCTCAAGATAACCTAGTTTCACCTACTAGTATGCTGGGGTGGTAGTTATGTTATCATTACCATGGCCTGGTTGATGTAAACATTCGTCCACGAGTCTTACAATTAATGAATCAGTGGTACTGAGGTAATCAACAGGTGCATGGGTTACCTTGAGGTGCTTCCGGGGCTTAGCGTCCCCGCGGCCCGGTCGTTGACCAGACCTCCTGGTTGCTGGACTGATCAACCAGGTTGTTGGATGCGGCTGCTCGCTCGGGTTCCCAAGGACCACGAGGTGGGTCGGTACGTGGGGGTGTAGGCACGTTGTGTCAGACTTGTCAGGTGTTGACATATAGTCATAATCACCTGAAGCTATAAATTCGTGTCGCCTGGTTTACAGGAAGGGCGGACAATGCTAAGATGAAGTACAGTTGTGTTATAAGTCTCCTATCACAGTGCTGTATGCGTGGGCGGCTGAGTGATGTGTTGGTGGAGATAATGCGGAGGTGTGTAAGTGTGCGGTGCATGGGAGCCGGTCGGCCGAGCGGACAGCACACTGGACTTGTGATCCTGTGGTCCTGGATTCGATCCCAGGCGCCGGCGAGAAACAATGGGCAGAGTTTCTTTCACCCTATGCCCCTGTTACCTAGCAGTAAAATAGGTACCTGGGTGTTAGTCAGCTGTCACGGTGGAGGCCTGGTCGAGGACTGGGCCGCGGGGACACTAAAAGCCCCGAAATCATCTCAAGATAACCTCAAGGTAAGGTTGTGTACACGCAGGTCAAGGCAGCGTGAGAGGTGTTAAGCCGTAGAGTGAAGGATGAGGAAGCAGAGTACCTTGAGCTGCTTGGTGTCGGCGACGGTGACGGTGAGACGCTCGAGGTTGTCGTTGTAGCAGAGGGAGAGCTCCACCTGCCCCAGCTCCCGAGGGCTCAGGCTCACCTCCCGCTCCAGGTCCCGCCGCAGCATCTTCTTCCCCTCCAGCGCGTGCAGGTCCTGCGGCGACACCCCAAGACACGTTAGCGCCACCAACGCCTCCCTCCAGCACCACGAAGACGTCAAAGTTGGGCGACAAGCACACACAGGCACACACAAGCACACACAGACACACAGACACACACAGGCACACACAAACACACACAGACACACACAAGCACACACAGCCGTTGTTCAGGCACACACAGTCGTTGTTCAGACGCACACAAGCACACACAGAACGGTCGTTGTTCTCAGGAATGTGACACGTTAGCAAAATATCATTTGCTAACATTTGTTTTGCAAATATCAAATTGTAGCACAGATGAAGGATGTTGTCAGAGAAGCTGAACCAGAGTGCACAAAAAATACATATGTACACTCCAGTCGTCGGCTCGTGTATTATAATACTTTAGAGTCATGATTTAACAAGTATAAACAAAATAATTTTGATTCTGCCTGCGTCTAAGCATCACGTATCAGTTACAGCTAAATGTTCATTGATAATATTATCACTGGCAACAATTTATTCACTGATATATTTAGTAATTTACTGCTAAGATAGCAAGTAGGCAAACTAATCAACCCATCCTCCTGTTTAGATAGCCCAACCACTTGGGCTGGATGGTAGAGCGACGGTCGGCGTTCAATCCCCGTGATGGGTAGGTTAGGTATTATTAGCAATATAAATATAAAAAAAAAACGTTTTCCGGTTTGTCCAAATTCAGTAGTACCAAATTCTATTTTCTAATTGTCTAATAAGTTCCATAATCTTCTCCAGAACCTCCAGGTACTATCTGTGCGTATATTATACTTATCATCCGATAAGTATAATCATCAATATGTACAATATCATCAGAGCTATCATCCGATAAAGTTATAATATGACCTCTTTAATATGTTCAGTGTCTTTATTACTTGAATCAGTACTGTATTATATTATTATTCACTGTAACCTCTTATTGCAATTTTGTATTGATATTGTATTTTGAATATCTAGATATTTTGCTCACATAAACTATGGGTAAATAAATATTGTATTAGACTGTATTATATTATTACAGTTAAGGATGTGATATAATGACATTATATCTCGTATCATCACTTTATCTTTTTATGACAATATTGTACTATCCACAGAGACAAAGATTGGTAAGGAACAGGGTGAAAAGACATTGACATGACATCCAATCGTGGGCCAAGCTCATAGGGACAGACATAGAGATAGACAGACGTGGAAATAAACAGATACAGAGATAGACAGACGTGGAAATAGACAGATACAGAGATAGAGAGACAGTCAGAGACAGACACAGAGATAGAGAGACAGCCAGAGTTAAAGAGATAGAGACAGATATTGATTTAGAGAAATAGACATAGAAATAGAGATAGATCTCACCTTAAGCAGGAAGAGAACATGGCCAATGACCTGGTGCTTCTTGTCTCTATCGACGTCGTAGAAGGTTAACTTGAGAGCTCTCTCCTCCAGCTCCTTAGCCGTTATCTGTTGGGACAGCTGGCTTTAATGACAGGTGAAGTTACTGTTGGGACAGCTGGCTTTAATGACAGGTGAAGTTACTGTTGGGACAGCTGGCTTTAATGACAGGTGAAGTTACTGTTGGGACAGCTGGCTTTAATGACAGGTGAAGTTACTGTTGGGACAGCTGGCTTTAATGACAGGTGAAGTTACTGTTGGGACAGCTGGCTTTAATGACAGGTGAAGTTACTGTTGGGACAGCTGGCTTTAATGACAGGTGAAGTTACTGTTGGGACAGCTGGCTTTAATGACAGGTGAAGTTACTGTTGGGACAGCTGGCTTTAATGACAGGTGAAGTTACTGTTGGGACAGCTGGCTTTAATGCCAGGTGAAGTTACTGTTGGGACAGCTGGCTTTAATGCCAGGTGAAGTTACTGTTGGGACAGCTGGCTTTAATGACAGGTGAAGATACTGTTGGGACAGCTGGCTTTAATGACAGGTGAAGTTACTGTTGGGACAGCTGGCTTTAATGACAGGTGAAGTTACTGTTGGGACAGCTGGCTTTAATGACAGGTGAAGTTACTGTTGGGACAGCTGGCTTTAATGACAGGTGAAGTTACTGTTGGGACAGCTGGCTTTAATGACAGGTGAAGTTACTGTTGGGACAGCTGGCTTTAATGACAGGTGAAGTTACTGTTGGGACAGCTGGCTTTAATGACAGGTGAAGTTACTGTTGGGACAGCTGGCTTTAATGACAGGTGAAGTTACTGTTGGGACAGCTGGCTTTAATGACAGGTGAAGTTACTGTTGGGACAGCTGGCTTTAATGCCAGGTGAAGTTACTGTTGGGACAGCTGGCTTTAATGACAGGTGAAGATACTGTTGGGACAGCTGGCTTTAATGACAGGTGAAGTTACTGTTGGGACAGCTGGCTTTAATGACAGGTGAAGTTACTGTTGGGACAGCTGGCTTTAATGACAGGTGAAGTTACTGTTGGGACAGCTGGCTTTAATGCCAGGTGAAGTTACTGTTGGGACAGCTGGCTTTAATGACAGGTGAAGATACTGTTGGGACAGCTGGCTTTAATGACAGGTGAAGTTACTGTTGGGACAGCTGGCTTTAATGACAGGTGAAGTTACTGTTGGGACAGCTGGCTTTAATGACAGGTGAAGTTACTGTTGGGACAGCTGGCTTTAATGACAGGTGAAGTTACTGTTGGGACAGCTGGCTTTAATGACAGGTGAAGTTACTGTTGGGACAGCTGGCTTTAATGACAGGTGAAGATACTGTTGGGACAGCTGGCTTTAATGACAGGTGAAGTTACTGTTGGGACAGCTGGCTTTAGTGGCAGATGGTGCTGGAGGCAAGTGGTCAACCCCGCAGCTGGACGAGGTCTATATTCCTCAACTGAACGGAAGATCGTCCGACTAGTGTGTTTGTAAACACTTCAGTAATTACCTAGAAACCCTGCCCAACGACTGATGCATATACAATTCCCACATATAGTCGCACATACACATACAACCACAAACTAATTAGTAAATGAGCTCATCAGTCGTCTCACGAGTGAGGGGTCCAAGTCTTCTGATGTTCCAGCGTGACGACACGTTCTAGCAAGTCACAGGATTATTTAACCTTCATGTAGTGGTTACTCTGCTGGCGTGTCTGTTGCTGGGTGTGTGGGCGCACACACGCCCGAGCCTCAGTGCGCCCTCGGAGCCAAAATAATTTCTCGTAATAAGTGAGGTCGTGGCGCGAGGTTAGGTTGGAGAAGTTCAGGAGATGGGGACGTGTGCGTTGTGCACGCGATGATTGGTATCATTCTCATTCTCTCATTCTCTCTCCTCTCTCTCTCTCATATACTCTCTATCTCTCATATATTATAACGCAACAGGTACACCAAGGGTAACAGGCTAGTCATAAGTGGGTGGACATCACTTCCCGTGGTTAGGTTAGCTTAGCACTTCACGCAGGTTAAGTAATAATTGTAAATAATGCAATAAGATGCTTATCTTAACATACTAAGAAGGTTAGGTGAGGTCGGTGTTTTCTATGAAGCTTTTCAAGGTAAACTAAAATATTCACAATCAATTAGTATGTCACATATGCACTTATTAAATTTGCCAATATTGACAGTAAGCAAGTGCGAGAACGGGTTGTCACGTCCTACATCTCTCTCTCTCTCTCTCTCTCTCTCTCTCTCTCTCTCTCTCTCTCTCTCTCTCTCTCTCTCTCTCTCTCTCTCTCTCTCTCTCTCTCTCTCTCTCTCTCTCTCTCTCTCTCTCTCTCTCTCAGTTGATGCTCAATTACTCAGACTGTCTTTTTTAAGTTTTTTCAACTTTAAGTGGGCGTGCTTGTTACCAGGGACAAATGTGGTACACAGTCTTCCCGGCTTGGCATCTTCTTTAAAAAAAAAACATGATATTTTTAGGATAGAGATCTTGTAGCCATGACGAGTGCCTCTGCAAGGAAAAAATTCCCAGGATTGCATATTACAGCTTATTACACCAGAGGAGCACATAAACAGAAAAAAACATCAGCAGCATGTGCAAAATTAGCAGACAGAAGTGCAGTTTTTTGGAATCTAATAAAATAATCCTCTAAAACATTATATACAACCGATGTAAGACCGGCCGTGAAGTATGCAGCTCACACTCTGGGATACATTTTGTTAATAATAATAATACAATACACGTATAAATTGATGTATTTTATCTAGACATGGATTTTCACATAGCAATTGGGCACAAGTTTTATATTAATAAATACAGTAATAAAAAAAGTCAAGACCCGCCAAAAAATTATTTACCATAGTTATGATTTAATGTGTTAACGTGTACAATGCGACACACCAATGGCAAGTCCCAGCTGTGTCTGGGTACAAGTGACAGGATGAACAACCCAGCGGGTTTTCTTCCTATTGGGGAGTGTTGTACATGCTGCTATGGCGGTGTGTCCACTCACAAGATGAGTAGCGCTGCCCAATACTGTCAGTATGGCGGTGCTTCCACTCACAAGATGAGTGGCGCTGCCCAATACTGTCACTATGGCGGTGTGTCCACTCACAAGATGAGTGGCGCTGCCCAATACTGTCACTATGGCGGTGTGTCCACTCACAAGATGAGTGGCGCTGCCCAATACTGTCACTATGGCGGTGTGTCCACTCACAAGATGAGTGGCGCTGCCCAATACTGTCACTATGGCGGTGTGTCCACTCACAAGATGAGTGGCGCTGCCCAATACTGTCACTATGGCGGTGTGTCCACTCACAAGATGAGTGGCGCTGCCCAATACTGTCACTATGGCGGTGCTTCCACTCACAAGATGAGTGGCGCTGCCCAATACTGTCACTATGGCGGTGTGTCCACTCACAAGATGAGTGGCGCTGCCCAATACTGTCACTATGGTGGTGTGTCCGCTCACAAGATGAGTGGCGCTGCCCAATACTGTCACTTTGGCGGTGTGTCCACTCACAAGATGAGTGGCGCTGCCCAATACTGTCACTATGGCGGTGTGTCCACTCACAAGATGAGTGGCGCTGCCCAATAAACTCGCCCCTCGGGGCAAAATTTAAAATTTAAAAAACCAATGGCTGTGTGTGTCTCTCGTGTAGAAAATGATGAGATTACCTGGAAAGGTGTGAGGAACGCTCCTCAGTGTACGAACAGCGTCTCACCTGGAAGCCAAACGTCTCGTCAAATCTTGGGTTGCAGGTCTTCTTCCGTATCTTGGTCTGTAGGTACCGGCGCTCGTCGGGCATCAGGAACAGTCTGTTGGGGGAACAACAGTAGTCTGTTGGGGGGACAACGGTAATCTGTTGGGGTAGAAACTTAGTCTGTTGGGGAACAACAGTCGTCTGTTGGTAAATAACAGTAGTCTGTTGGGACAAGAAGTTCGTAGGGACAAAAGTAGTCTGTATGGGAACAACAGTGATCTGTTGGGAAAACAGCAATCAGTAGAGAAACGGCAGTGGTCTCTAAGGAGAACAACAGTAATCTGTAGGGTGAAAAAAAAACAGAGGTATATAGGGAACGACAGTAAGGGGAAAGAGAGGAAGGCAAAGAGAAGGGAGGGAGGGGGGAAGGGGAGTTCTCCCCTCGTATGTGACCCCTCGTCCAGGTCAAGCTTGTCACTACACTGAAGGACCTTGTATACCACAGCCGTGTTCCCTGTCTTATATTCAGCTCAGGATAATTTATTATAACTCCAACGTCCCACTTGCCAAATATGATTTGGTCTCGATGCTGGCTCTGCATATGAATCCTTTGAGTGCGTTGTAAAGCATCCAAAGGAACCTTTTGTGTGAGTTCTAATAGCAGTTCTTACATTCTTCTGTTGCATCCGCCGCTGATGTTAACCAGTTTGTGTGTGATGTGATGCGAGTGGTGGAGTTTGTAATACCCGCTGCCGCCTCTGATGTGTCGGACGGTGTAAGTTGTTTTCCTGTTTGTTGGTATGACACAATTGGGCACGTTTGTCATGTTCCCATCGTGACCGAGTCTTATTTGTCGAGGGTAAATACCAGTGTGCGTGGTGGGGAGTGGGGTGAGGGTGTGGCGAGGTTGTGGTGGTGGGGTGAGGGTGTGGCGAGGTTGTGGTGGTGGGGTGAGGGGTGTGGCGAAGTTGTGGTGGTGGGGTGAGTGTTGGATGGGAGTTAAGGAGGGACAATAGGAGTGGAGAGTGTGGTGAGGCAGAGAGAATGTAGGGGGGGTTAGAATAAATAAATATATAAATAAATAAATAAATAAATAAATAAATAAATAAATAAATAAATAAATAAATAAATAAATAAATAAATAAATAAACAGTTTCCTGAGTGACTACAGTTAGGAATCTTGCTCTTGGATATGTGAGGCCCCTGTACGCCCTGTCCTCGCACACATCATCCCTACATCGTGTGTGTGTGTTGGTGGCTGGCGGGGACAGGAAGTCTGTTAGTCTTATCGAGGTCCCCTATGCCAACTGACGGTCATTCCCCAGGATGAAAACATTACATCCAAGATGGCAGTGGGTGTTAGGAAATGTGCCCCAAACGCCTTCGTCCTACGCAGGAATCGAAGCCTGGACCAATTAGTCGTGAGCCGATTGCATTACAGGCGCGATGTTGAGGCTTAGCCTACCCTACAGAAGTAACTTAAGGCTTAAACCATCTAATTTATCCAGTGTGCAAAACCCAACTGTAGCACCAGTAAAGAGGTCTAACTTGTCAATCCCCCCCCGGTGGCCTATCAATCTCCCGGTGCCTGGCAATCCCCCAGGGCTGTCAATTCCCCCCCCCGGGGCTGTCAATCCCCTCCCCCCGGGGCTGTCAATCCCCACATAGCTTGCCAGTAAGTGGTGGCCTGTCAGTCCCCGATAGCCAGGGGGTCCATTACACGCTCAGGTCCAGGCATTCCTGTCCTACTTACGAGCTCATTTAAAATGCATTATGGATGTGGGGCGCATAATTATAGCATTCTTTTAGTTCATAGCGCGAGGCTGCAGTGGGCGCAGCCAGTCAGTCGTGAGGGCGGGTGTATATACTGCCGCCCCTCCGCCCTCAGAGGTGCCGCCCCTCCACCCTCGGAGGTGCCGCCCCTCCACCCTCGGAGGTGCCGCCCCTCCACCCTCGGAGGTGCCGCCCCTCCACCCTCGGAGGTGCCGCCCCTCCACCCTCGGAGGTGCCGCCCCTCCACCCTCGGAGGTGCCGCCCCTCCACCCTCGGAGGTGCCGCCCCTCCACCCTCGGGAGGGCTCTACAGACCTTACACTCTCATCATGTCGTAACCAAACAGCTGGTCGTGTTTATTATTTTAGGTTCGTCATCAGCTGACCTTGTGGGGCACAACACTGGATCTGTTTGTCTTGTTTGGTTTGGTATTTTGTTTGTAGGTCTTATGACTAGGCCTCTCAAGTTTCGAATTTGAAAATTAACATTTTTTATTTTGCATATGGGAGTATTAGTGATTAATTTATGACATGAAAGTGCATCAGGTTGTGAATAGTGAAACATAATATGAAAATAGCCCCTTTGAGGGTTGCCACTTTTGTCAAAGATTTTTTCTAGGATTATTATTTTGTGGTGACCAGTGGAGTTAGTAAGTTTTTGCCTGTAGTTAACCCAGTCATTCCTGAACACTGTAACTGGGGATTTTATTGGCAAAAGGCACCAAGGTGTAGTCACTATATATGTAGTTTTCATTATGTAATATTGAAGGGCGAGGTTGTTCACCTGTTACCGGTAGCCTTAACCACCTATATTATCCCCCCATCTATTCTTAGAGGACAGCTTTGTTTACATTATATATTCACTAGCAAGCTAGATTGATGGCCGGACCGAAAAGTGATATTCAAGAGTCTATAGTGGCTAACTGGGCATAAACGGCAGACTAGCCTAATATATTTTATTCAGAATGTGATTCGAAAATCGATTTACATTTGGGCTCCAGATTACTGATGTCGAGTACAGAAGGAGAAGATGTGTCCACTCACAGAATGAGTGGCGCTGCCCAATAAACTCGCCCCTCGGGGCAAAATTAAAAAAAAAAAATATGGGTGAAGAAGCCTCTTCTCTCCTACTGAAGACACTGTCAGGTCTCGTGAGGGTGGGGGGGGGGGAGGGCTTTGTTGCAATACAATACTTTACTTATAAATAAAATATTTTACAAATAACTGATACAGCTTCAGGGGTGTCTATGAAGCTTCATGGTGTCACGATACAGCTTTAGAATGTCTATGAAGCTTGAAGCCGTGCGTGTGCAGCTTCAATGGTGTCAACAATACGTCAGGGTGGCAATACAGCTTCAAGGTGTCGATACAGCTTCAAGGTGTCGATACAGCTTCGAGGTGTCGATACAGCTTCGAGGTGTCGATACAGCTTCGAGGTGTCTATGAAGCTTCAAGGGGGTTGAGGCACATTTGCTGTTCAAGTTCGAAACAAAAAAGCTTTGGGAACTTCAGGGAACAAAAGAGTCGTGCTAACTTTCAAAACTTTATCTGAAGGTTAAAAACTTTGAATATTATTTATCCTGTCGGGAACGTGTTAACCTGAGGCAGTAAAAGTAAAGTTGATGTTGTGAGAGGGTTTCTGTTGGCACCTGAGGGAGGGGGGAGGACGGACACACACACACACACACACACACACACACACACACACACACACACACACACACACACACACACACACACACACATTTCTGTCTGACGGGAAGAGAGTGTGAGAGTGATATTGATTGATGTATAACTCAATAGTCTGCTTCCATGAAAAGGAGGTCACGGGCTCCGTGTAAACAAAGACATAGTGTTTGTGGCAAAGGTTTACTCTCTCGGCTACACAGCAGAGGGTCAAACACGAGGGCAAGTGATATATAGTCCAATATGACCATAGTATTATTTCCTAGAGGATGTAATCATCCTAATCTGTAGAGGGGGCTTACACCACATTAACCTGCCTTCTGAAGTGGAGGGTGTCAGGGAACCAGGGAGAAGGTTGTGTGAGAAGTAGTCTGCCTTGTGACGTGACGTAGTCAGGTAGTCAGGCTTGTGGCGTTACATCGTCTCGTGTATAGTACAAGGCGCGTCTGATATGACACATGACACCTACGCCCATCCACATGACACTAAAACTCATCTAACACGAGGCAGAGGCTCCACATGACACTAAGACTCTTCGCCCGAAAACGTGAAGTATGTTCACTCACCCTTACATGAACCCTACACCCATACGCCGGGGAAACAGACTCGCCCGTTGGGAACTGTGGCCTACCTGACGTAAGGATCACAGGAGTTGATGGAGCCAATGAGACGACTAGGCAGATTCTTTGCTTTGATGAGCGTGACGAGGAGCTTCTCGGCGTCGGTGTGGTACTCCAGCTGAAGCCAAACTCGTCCGATGTGGTCATCAGGGTACTGGTCCAGCTCGCCCTCCAGCTCGTCCGTCTTGTATAGCTCTGGGTTGATGGCCCCCAGGCTGCAGGTCGCCCCTGCTGCACGGGAGGTAATGTCAGTCCCTAAGGATACATTTGTGGCACGTGACAAAGGCACACATGCGAAAATTACAGGTGAAGGACAGGTATAAATGATGCATTTGAAGACAGGTGTTGGTGACCCACACGGGAGGGACATGTGTTAATAACCCGCAAAAAGTGAGACAACCGTTAATCCCCCGAATGCAGGGAGAAATATGTTAATGGGGCATATAAGTGGAGAGACAGGTGTTAATGGTACCTATAAGGGGAGAGAGAGACAGATGTTAATGACAGGTATAAGGGGGGAGACAGGTATTAGTAGCACGTATAAGGGAAGAGACAGGTGTTAATCGCATGTATAAGTGGAGAGATAAGTGTAATTGGGACGTATAAGGGTAGAAACAGGTATTGATGACGCATTAAGGAGAGAAAATGTGGTAATGTTACATTGCAGGCGTTCATGGTCCCTCAGCTGACCATCGCTGAGACACGAAGCAAGAGAATATATTAAAAACAAATACTCTGGTGATGGACGAACCAGATAAACCACACAAACAGCGGGGTAAGAGCAAGAAGAAGCAGAGCGAGAGGGGGGGTAGAAATAGCCTAAGCTCCTCTATCCCTTTGAGATGTATTTCTCTCTTATCTCAATAAACATACTTGAACTTGAACTTGAAGCAGATGGAAAGCACAAGAAACACGCTAATGTTAACGATTATTATTCCTGTTGCAAGAACAATACATTCATAACAAACTTGCACTGCGTTGCATGACAACAATGAATTTAAGGTCAAGAGGAAAATAAATTATCCATATATTTTTAGATTGTTACATTTTCTAAATGCACAAATAAAAAGTTTCAACATGATGACCGTGCTAGGCTGTACGGAGTGTGCTAGAACATGATGACCGTGCTAGGCTGTACGGAGTGTGCTAGAACATGATGACCGTGCTAGGCTGTACGGAGTGTGCTAGATTATACAGAGTGGACTAGGCTATAGAGACTGCTACACTGTAAAGAGGGTTCTAGCTTGTACAGAGCTCTCCCTAGACCATAACAGCGTCACAATGACCCGTAAATACATGCCAAATCACTTGAAGTTCACACACCAGTGTAGTGGGAACTTAGTCATAACAATCACAGATTAGCATGAACGGCTTGCGTCAATTTTTCAAGTGAAAATTAATACCATAAGTAACTAAAAATGTAACTTCCTGAATCTGGATGGTATGTCACCCATGCCTCAAAACAAGGGCAATAAACAGCACAATTAGTGCCTTGTAAAAAAAAGAAACAATTCAATACTTTGCGATGCAGGGAATTATCTTCAATATGCTATGCAGGTTTGTACAAAAATTATTATTATTATTATTATTATTATTATTATTATTATTATTATTATTTTTTAGTGAGTGTTGGGTGAGAAATGAGGAAGAGCGGTTCCAGCAACGTGTCGTTCTCAAGGCAAGCCAAGCATCAGGTCGTTCCAGTGTGGTTCATAACTTGTGAGGGAAGACTACGTCACCCGGACTGCTTGTACTGTTCCGCGAACACTCTGTGCACTTTATGGTGCTCAATAAGACAGTGAATTAGTGCAACAACCGTGCCCAGTGTAGCGAAAACGAGGTCGACTTTAGGACTCCTCAGGCGCCATTTGTCACCCGACGAGGCTTACTATCTCGGTAATTAATGCCTTAATTACCCGACGTAACTACTTCAAGTATACCGGTAGGTGTTCTACAAGCGTAATTATACTGTGTGATTGATTGTTCAGGTATATAGGCACGTTGCATATATTGGAATATAGTAACTCTTATATAGTCCGGTTAATACTGCCTATCCTCCTAAAATGAAAGTACTTATAGTAACTACTTGTTGGAAAGTACCAACGCGTAGAGCTGGACCGCCAGACTGCTGACTTTTGTATTATTAAACTTGGGAAAACGGGAACTTTTTAACAGCAACATTAGTATAAGATTTAACCAAGCCTAACCAAAACTTTCCTAGCTATTCTTGGCCAAATATACGCTACTTTAGGCCTAATACTGTACATATATATGTGTATACTCGGCCTAGGAATATTTATTTCTGGGTTTAGCTTGACTTTTTTGGACTTAATACAATTAAAAGTACAACAAGTGGTTTACTGTTGAACAATCACTACATATTGGTATTTTCCGACCAAATAGTTACTCTAAGTACTATCATTCCAATATTGTAAACATGAGAGCATGTTAAATGGTATTCTTGCATTGTGATTTGTGGATTAGTACTCGCTGAATTTGTGCGCCTCTTGAGTGACTTGAAGTAGAGGGGATAGAAATAGCCTAAGCTACTCTATCCCTTTGAGATGTATTTTTTTCCTTGTCTCAATAAACATACTTGAACTTGAACGTGAGAGCACTTACAGCTACTATGGATGGAACTTGCAAAATATGGAATGTTGTGACCCCCAAAAAATTGTGTTGTACAATTTTAACACCAAACTGCATTACAACATGTTGAACAGAGTAACCATAAACCTAACTTTTCCTCGGCCTAAATAAACAATCCTAGTCTTAAAATACGCATTCCTGTCTTATAGTAGCCATAAATATTTATTTTTGGATGACGCATTAAAACAGCACCACGGGCGGGGGGGGGGGGGGAATCTACACAAGGATAATATTTATCTAATGAATTACTTTGTATTTCTTCTTACATAGCATTAGTTATAAGGGGTATTTCTGTCCGAATTTAGGCCATGACCAGACACACACACACAAGCCTATTGTCGGTTTTGTTGAGAAACAAGCTTTTTCTGGATACCAGCCTATTTTTGGTAATCAAATAAGCATGATAATTTTGCTAAACTTGAAGTAACACCTTGTACTCGTAGCTTACAGAAGGATAAATTAATCTTATAGATTAATCTTAACGTTCCGCTGCTATTACTAGAAGAATGCTTTGTGTACCGTAGTATTCAACACTGACGAACAAGCTTTACGCTCTAGTGACTTTATTAAATAATACGTTTATTTAACTAACCATAGTATCATGTTCCATATGTTTGTTAATAAATTTATTATTATTATTGCTATTATTAATCCAGAACTCGGCCATACATTGTTGTAGACTAGGTAGGTGGTGAGGGTGTGGCAGATGTGGTGGGGGAGGGTGTGGCAGATGTGGTGGGGGAGGGTGTGGCAGATGTGGCGGGGGAGGGTGTGGCAGATGTGGTGGGGGAGGGTGTGGCAGATGTGGTGGGGGAGGGTGTGGCAGATGTGGTGGGGGAGGGTGTGGCAGATGTGGCGGGGGAGGGTGTGGCAGCAGAGGACATGGGAGAATGTGGCAGGACTGGTTGAGTGTACACAATGTGTGTCAACATTAATCAGCCCCGGGCTCTGTCTTCAGCGCAACAAGACGTATATAAGCAGTCACAAAATAATGAACGGCTAACCCCTACACTTGTACCTTCTATTTAAGAATAATTAATTATCCTTTTAAGACATGGCGACTCCTTCGAAGCTGCCGGTAATCGTTACTGTTTCCAGAACATGCCGTTGAAAGCGATGTTTAAGAGCAAACACACAAACTAAAGGAAAAGTCATTAAAGCCGCACACACCAGGAATTAACTAAACAGCAGAACTAAGGTCTCCAGCAAATAAAAATTGTCCACGCTTCATGGTGCATTAGTCAAATTAAAAAATATGTCTAATTATGGTGCATATGAGAGCTTGCCATGAGGGATTTGTGGAGCGGGGGTGGGGGGGGGGAAGGGTTAGGGGTAATGACTGACAGACATTACTAAGGGAGGTGGGTGTAAGGTGATTGACATGACTTGGGAGGGAGATTATTTTTGTATTTTTTTTTTTGCAGGGATATTCCTGAGCGTGCCTTAAGCTTATGGGCGGCCCACTAAGTGTTACTTAAGGCGGGTGATGAGTACTTATGACGCATGTTGGCTTCAGAACGATAATGTCCAGTGTGTTGAACAACATCTGACCTCTTAAATCTCAGTGGGAAAAATTAGGTTTGTTAACTGTGCAGTGTGTTACGTAATGTTCCTGAGGTCTGTCGGACGTTTCATCATAATGCTCACATTTACCCTTTCATCAAAATTAATGGTTCGTAGTACTTTGAATTCTTGATACTTGTGTAAAGGAGGAAATGTAGATGTTTATCTCTCAGAATGTTCGGTAATATGTTTATTGTTTGTCCTGTGTGTTTATGTATATAGTCCGGCAACCAGGAGGCCTGGTCGACGACCGGGCCGCGGGGACGCTAAGCCCCGGAAGCACCTCAAGGTAACCTCAAGGTAACCTCAAGGTATGTATGTATTAACATGATGTACTGAACGGGGTGAGAATAGCTTGAGCTACCTCATCCCTTTGTGTGTATTTTACCTCAATAAACTTATTTCAATTTCAATTGAATTCTTGTACCAACCCGCAGCTGCTGCATTATGGTCGCTACATTTACTGTATTGCTCTATCTCTAATTATTTTTGTAAGCTGTGCTACATTCTAAGTTGTGTAAATGTCTATATTATCCCTCCTAGTTGCAAGTTATGCTCCTTCATCTGCAGTGTCATTCTCTTGTGTTCCTACATGATATGACACTCAATTGCTAAGTATTGGACGACGATGGTAGTTGAGTGCTTACACTAATGCTGCAGCATTGGTCAGATAGATGTTGTCACGTAAGTGTTCTTGTTGCAAGGTTTCAGTGGCAGTTCTCGAATCTGTATGGTAACGTGTTGTCGATATTCAGCATGTTATAAAACCTTTTGAATGGCTCGCATTTTTGTTCGTAAAGTTGAGCACCTGTTAGGGAGTCTCCAACTACTGAATTTCCTGTCTTAACTGTAGCTTCAGATTCTTGTCTCACCTCCACTACTGACCCGTCTGTGAAGTATGTGAAGCTGTCAGGTACCAAGTTTGCTTCTATATTCACCCGTGCAATGATGCGTAGTAGGAAGGTAGGAGTTAGTCTGATTGGTTTTCCTTGAAAGGCCATAATCTTAGTCTGCTGGCA